AAAAAATTGAAAAATTAAAAAATCGGATAACTGAAAAATTGAAAAGTCCAAAAGTAAAAAATCAAAAAAGCGAGAAATCCAAAAATCGAAATATCGAAAAATTCCAAACTGAGACATCGAGAAATCGAAAAATCAGAGGATCGAGAAATCGAGGAGTCGAAAATTGAGAAATCAAAAAATTCAAAAATGAAAAATTCAAAAATCTAAAATTTAAAAATCGAAACACAGAAAATCAAGAAATCGAAACTCCAAAATTTACAAAATCGAAGAACTGGAAACCCGAAAATTAAAAAATCGAAAAAATCAAAAGATCGAGATATCAAAAAGTTAAAAAATGAAAAACCGATAAATCGAAAAATTGAACATTCAAAGCAAGGAGAAATAAAAAAATTCAAAAAATGAAATATTGAGAAATCGAAAAGTAATGAAGTCGAAAAAGCGAGAAAATTAAAAGTTGAAAAATTTGAAAATAGGAAAACCGAGAAACCGAAGTAAGTCAAAATAAAAAATCGAAATTTATACATTGAAAAACTCATAAATCGAGAAACTGAACAGTCAAAACATCGAAACATCCAAATCCCGAAAAATCGAAAAATTTAAAAAACGAAAAATGAAAAAATCGAAAATTTGAAAAAACGAAAAATTGAAAAACAGAACATCCAAAACCGGGAGGCTAAAAATCGAATTATTAAGAAATCGAAACATTTGAATAATTCGAAAAATTGAAATATCGAAAAACTGAAATGGAAAAATGGGAAATCAAAAAATCTAAAATTTTAAAAATTCAAAAATTAAAATATCAAATAAACGAAAAATCTAAAGTTAAAAAAACGAAAAATTGAAAATCCAAAAATCGAAAAATTGAAAAGTCGAAATACTAAAAAATACCAAAACTCAAATATCGAAAAATTGGAAAATAGAGAAATTGAAAAATCGAGAAACTGAAAAATCACAAAATTGAACGAAATATCCAAAAATTGTGAAATTAAAAAATTGAAAAATTGAAACATCAAAAAGTCAAAACAGCAAAGTGGAAAAAGCGCAAACTTAAAATATCGAAAAATTGAAAAATCAAAAACCTGAAAAATCGAAGGATTAAGGACTGAAACATCGAAACTTTGGGAATTCGAGAAATGGAAAAATCAAAAGGTAGATTAAATGAGAAAATTCAGAAACGTCAAAATTTGAAGAAATCAAAAATATTGAAGAACTGAAAAATCGAAAAATCGAAAATTTAAAACATTGAAAAATTAAAATATCGTAAAATAGAGAAATCTAAATATCAAAAAACCAATAAAAAAAAATAATAATTCGAAAATCTAAAATTTAAAAATTCCGAATATTGAAAAATTGTAATATAAAATATATATGAAATCGAAGTTTAAAACAGTCAAAAAATTGAAAAACTAAAGTTTAAAAAACGAAAAATTGAAGATCCAAAAAGTAAAATGTTGAGAAATCGAAAAATCCAGAACTCGAAAAGTTGAAATACTAAAAAAATATCCCAAAACTCAAATATTAAAAAAATTCAGAAATAGGAGAAAAATATTGAAGAATTGAAAAATTGAAAAAACACAAAATTGAACGAAATATCCAAAAATTGGTAAATTAAAAAATTTAAAAATTAAGAAATCAAAAAGTCAAGAAAACAAAGTTGAAAAATGGTAAACTTGAAAAATGGAAAAATTGAAAAATGAAAAACCTGAAAAATCGATTAATTGAAGAACTGAAGAACTGAAGATCGGAACTTTGGGAAGTCGAGAAATGGGAAAATCAAAAACAGGGAAATCGGAAAACGGAAAATTTAGCAACGTCAAAATTTGAAAAAATAGAAACACTGAAGAACTGAAAAATAAAAATTCAAAAAATATAAGTTTGAAAATCTAAAATTTAAAAATCGAAAAACCCAAAAATTGACAAACGAGAAATCGAAGCTCCAGAATTAAAAAAATTGAAGAATTGAAAAATTGGGTAACTGAAAAATTGAAAAGTCCAAAAGTAAAAAATCGAAAAAGCGAGAAATCCAAAAATCGAAACATCGAAAAATTCCAAACTGAGACATCGAGAAACTGAATAATCGAGACATCGAAACATTTGAATTCGATAAATCGAAAAATCAAAAAATTCAAAAATGAAAAATTCAAAAATCTAAAATCTAAAAATCGAAAAACGGAAAATCGAGAAATCAAGACTCCTAAATTCACAAAATCGAGGAACTGGAAATTCGAAAATTAAAAAATCGAAAAATTCAAAAGATCGAGATATCAAAAAGTTAAAAATTGAAAAATTTGAAAATCGAAAAATGGAAAAATGTGAAAATAAGAAACGAAAAAACAGAAAAAATGGGAAAACCGAAAAACCGAAGCAGGTCAAAATAAAAAATCGAAAAGTTATACATTCAAAAACTCATAAATCCAGAAACTGAACAGTCAAATCTCGACAAAACACTGAAAAATCGAAAAATTTAAAAAACGAAAAATTAAAAAATCGAAAATTTGAAAAAACAAAAAATTTAAAAACAGAAAATCCAAAACCGGAAAGCTAAAAACCGCATTATTAAGAAATCGAAACGTTTGAATAATTCGAAAAACTGAAATATCGAAGAACTGAAATGGAAAATTGGAAAACCGAAAAATCTAAAATTTTAAAAATTCAAAAATTAAAATATCAAATAAAAGAAAAATCTAAAGTTTAAAAAACGAAAAATTGTGAAATTAAAAAATCGAAAAATTGAAACATCAGAAAGTGAAAACAGCAAAGTCGAAAAAGCCCAATTTTAAAATATCGAAAAATTGAAATATCGAAAACCTGAAAAATTGAAGAATTAAGGACTGAAACATCGAAACTTTGGGAATTCGAGAAATGGGAGAATCAAAAAATAGATTAATTGAGAAAATTCAGAAACGTCAAAATTTGAAAAAATCAAAAATATTGAAGACCTGAAAAATAGAAAATTCGAAAATGTGAAAAATCAACAAATCGAGAAATCGAAACTCGAAAATTAAAAGAATTGGAAAATTGAAAAATCGAAATACCGAAAAATCGAAAAGCCGCAGAGTAAAAGTTGAAAAATTGAGAAATCGAAATATAAAACAGTCCAAAAACTGGAAAATTTACATTTTAACATACGAAAAACTCAAAACCCAAAAAATAAAAATTGAAAAATGCAGAAATAAAAAAAATCGAAAATTGGGAAATCGAAAAACCAAAGAGGCAAAATCGAAAATTCGAAGAATTGAAGAATTGAAAAATCGAAATTTGGATAAGTCGAGACGCGGGAAAATAAAAAAAAAAATAATTGAGAAAATTTAGCAGCGTCAAAATTTGAAAAATTGAACAATAAGAATACTGATGATCTGAGAAATTAAAAAATCGAAAGAGAAATCAAAAATTCGAAAATTTAAAACATTGAACAATTAAAATATGGCAAAATTGAAAAATCCAGAAATCCAAGCATCAAAAAATCAAAAAATAAAAATGCGAAAATCTAATATTTAAAAATCAAAAAACTGAAAAAAATCGAAATTCTAGAATATAAAAATTGAAAAATTGAAAAATCGGAAAATTAGAAAATCGAAAAATTGAAAAGCCCAAAAGTAAAAAATCTAAACATCGAAAAATGTAAAAAGTGGGACATGGAGAAATCGAAAAATCAGAGTATGGAGAAATCGAGGAGTCGAAAACCGAGAAAAAAAGTTAAAAATTGAAAAATTCATGAATCGAGAAATTGAACAATCAAAACATCGAAACATCTGAATTCGATAAATCTGAGAAACCAAAAAATTGAAAAATCAAAAAACTTTAAAAAAGAAAAATTCGGAAAATGGAAAAATTGAGATATAGAAAAATCGATAAACCTAGAATTTTAAAAATTGAAAAATCTGAAGTGTAACGTAAAACTGAAAGAGAAATCAAAAGATCCAAGAGTCCAAAAATGGAAAAGTCGAGAAATGGCAAACTTAAAAAATAGAAAAATTGAAAAATCGAAAATCTGAAAAATCGAAAAATTGAAGAACTGGAGAACTAAAAATCTAAAATTTAAAACATTGAACAATTAAAATATGGCAAAATTGAAAAATCGAGAAATCCGAACATCAAAAAATCAAAAAATTAAAGTTTGAAAATCTAAAATTTAAAAATCGAAAAACCCAAAAATCGACAAACGAGAAATCGAAGCTCCAGAATTTGAAAAATTGAAAAATCGGATGCTTATGATAACTTTGAAACATCTCCAAAATTTCAAACGATTCGGTTTTGCAATTTCTGATTAAACCAATAATAAAATTCACGCATTCATTAAATTTTTTGTCACCCCGATACCTAAGCAAAAAATGCTCACCATCACACCCCTGACTAGCTGGTCTTTAACTTTTCATGATCTGCGGTCGATATCGTTTGGAGGAATAATGAATCAAAAATAATTCCCCAATTACTATTTCCTTTGTCGCCCTCTGTTGATTTATCGAAATTCGCTTCACATCTCGAATCCAATCCAGTCCCTCATTTTTATTTTGTTTAGTGCAAAATTTCCATTCTACGCCTTTTTTTTTTTTTTAGTTTGTTGTTGTGATTGCTTCAACCCCCCTTTCTTTTGTGACAACTCCGTCAAGCCCGCGTTTTTGTTTAAGAATTGATTTTCCAGTAACAGGTTCAAGGAAAAAACATTAAATTATGTTACGAGAGCTCTCCAGTCAATGTGGCGTCTGCTTAGGAAAATTGGCAGACGCTTTCACATTACACGAAAATGTTCTCTTAATGGACGTGGTGCTCCCTAAATCGATTTACATATGAATGCAAAATTTTGTTTTAGAGCCAGATGTCGGAAAAAAATACCTCGGGCGATTTTTGCGAAATCCTTAAACAATAAGTATCTCATTTATTCAGTGACAAGTCGAAATAAACGAAATCTTTCGTTTTCTCGTGTCGGCGGAATTGGTTTCCGCCTATCGATTGCGTGCGGACTGTTTTCTCTAATAACGTGTTTTTATATCATGTTTCAGGGAGATTTGGAGCAGCTATCAATAGTTCCTGATCCAAGACTTGTCAGTTTGCAATGTTCCTCGCTTCGAACACCGATTATCGATCCTAGTGTCAAAGACGTCAACCAAGAGGTATCAACAACACAAAAAAGCATAAAACTCTCGAAAAAGAAGCGGTTCAAAGTCAGCAACAGAGTCAAATAGGATGTATAACGGTGATAAGAAATAATCAAAATTTATAAAAAAAAAACGTAATTTAATTAGTACAATCAGTGCATATTTGTATATTGAATGTTTAATGTTTTCCGTTCGACTTTTGTATTTATTTATTTAAACTAATTTATTCGAATTGTTGTACCTGCATGACAATAGGCACTTGTTAATAAAAACACATCATTTTATCTCGTAGAGGAATTTCGTTTCTAGACATGGACAATAAATTCTGGATGTATTCCGACAAAACCTCTTTGTCTCAAGCTGGTTATAGAAGTTTTATATTGTGTGTTATTGTATAAACTCGACTATTTGTTGTTACTTGCTTTAAACTGTACTTTATTGTAATAATGTAGGCGAGATTTAACTGTTTTTAAATAAATTTTACCGAAGTAAAAGTGGTTACCGATCTTTAATATCTCGCGTCGACCCACACATTTTCCGAAACAAACGTCACATTACAGGAAACGAACTGTCAGCTCAAAGCACTCCACTCCACTGAATTTTCACATTAAACCCTCACATTTTCTTTCCACGACGCCGCTAAAACCATTATGAATCATTCGTTACTTTATCGATATTCGCTGAATTTGTCTGAGAACAAATAATGCCGCGGGGCAACAAAAATGGGCGCAAAATAAACTTTTACTGTGGCATTTATAACCAGCCAACATAGCAGTGCGGAAAAATTGGGATCGCGGGACTCGAAATTGGTTTTTGCGATTTAAATGAAATAACGCGGAAAGAAATTTGTTTTATCGGATGCAAAATCAATATAGGGTGGATTTTTGTGGGTGACAGCTTAATTAATTTCAGTGGAGGGGATGTCGGAAAGTTGTGTGCTGAAGAACTTGTTCCGTTCAACGTCAGACTCAAGATGATCAGATATTTTCAGTTTTGTAGCGGAAAATCAAGCCACCACAGAAAAACAAAAAATTGGTCGAAAGTTATTTTCACAGAAGTTCCCTTGCTTTTGAAGAACAGTCCAACATATACTGCTTCTATGAAAAATGATAAAATTTGATTTTGGTTTCGCATTGAAAAAAAAGACATTTGGACCCTCCGAGACGGTTTTACATTTTCAAAAAAGACGGTTGGGACCCCCGAGAAAGTTTCACAATTTTTGAAAAAGAGAGTTGGGACCCTCGAGAAGGTTTTACATTTTCAAAAAAGACGGTTTGGACTCCCGAGAAGGTTTTACATTTTCAAAAAAGACGGTTTGGACCCCCGAGAAGGTTTTACATTTTCAAAAAAGACGGTTTGGACTCCCGAGAAGGTCCTACATTTTCAAAAAAGACGGTTTGGACTCCCGAGAAGGTTTTACATTTTCAAAAAAGACGGTTTGGACTCCCGAGAATGTTTCACATTTTCAAAAAAGACGGTTTAGATCCCCGAGAAGGTTTTACATTTTCAAAAAAGACAGTTTGGACTCCGGAGAGGGTTTTATATTTTCAAAAAAGACGGTTGGGACCCCCGAGAAAGTTTCACAATTTTTGAAAAAGAGAGTTGGGACCCCCGAGAAGGTTTTACATTTTCAAAAAAGACGGTTTGGACTCCCGAGAAGGTTTTACATTTTCAAAAAAGACCATTTAGACCCCCGAGAAGGTTTTACAGTTTCAAGAAAGACGGTTTGGACCCCCGAGAAGGTTTTACATTTTCAATAAAGACGGTTTGCACCCCCGAGAAGTTTTTAGATTTTCAAAAAAGACGGTTGGGACTCCGAGAAAGTTTCACATTTTCGAAAAAGATAGTTGAGACCCCCGAGAAGGTTTTACATTTTCAAAAAAGACGGTTTGGACCCCCGAGAAGGTTTTACATTTTCAAAAAAGACGGTTTGGACTCCCGAGAAGGTTTTACATTTTCAAAAAATACGGTTTGGACCCCCCCGAAAGTTTCACATTTTTGAAAAAGATAGTTGAGGCCCCCGAGAAGGTTTCACATTTTCAAAAAAGACGGTTTGGTTTCCCGAGAAGGTTTTACATTTTCAAAAAAGACGGTTTGGATTCCCGAGAAAGTTTAACATTTTCAAAAAAGACGGTTTAGACCCCCCAGAAGGCTTTACGTTTTCAAAAAAGACGGTTTGGACTCCCGAGAAGGTTTTACATTTTCAAAAACGACGGTTTAGACGCCCGAGAAGGTTTTACATTTTCAAGAAAGACGGTTTGGACTCCCGAGAAGATTTTACATTTTCAAAAAAGACGGTTTGGACTCCCGAGAAGGTTTTACATTTTCAAAAAATACGGTTTGGACCCCCCCGAAAGTTTCACATTTTTGAAAAAGATAGTTGAGGCCCCCGAGAAGGTTTCACATTTTCAAAAAAGACGGTTTGGTTTCCCGAGAAGGTTTTACATTTTCAAAAAAGACAGTTTGGACTCCCGAGAAGGTTTTACATTTTCAATAAAGACGGTTTGCACCCCCGAGAAGTTCTTACATTTTCAAAAAAGACGGTTGGGACTCCGTGAAAGTTTCACATTTTCGAAAAAGATAGTTGAGACCCCCGAGAAGGTTTTACATTTTCAAAAAAGACGGTTTGGACCCCCGAGAAGGTTTTACATTTTCAAAAAAGACGGTTTGGACTCCCGAGAAGATTTTACATTTTCAAAAAAGACGGTTTGGACTTCCGAAAAGGTTTTACATTTTCAAAAAAGACAGTTTGGACTCCCGAGAAGATTTTACATTTTCAAAAAAGACGGTTTGGACTCCCGAGAAGGTTTTACATTTTCAAGAAATACGGTTTGGGCCCCCAAGAAAGTTTCACATTTTTGAAAAAGATAGTTGAGAGAAGGTTTCACATATTCAAAAAAGACGGTTTGGATTCCCAAGAAAATTTAATATTTTCAAAAAAGACGGTTTGAACTCCCGAGAAGGTTTTACATTTTCAAAAAAGACGGTTTGGACCCCCGAGAACTTTTCGCAATCTTAAAAAAAAAACATTTCGGGATCCCGAAAGGGTTTCATATTAAAAAAAAGATATTTGGGGTCCCCGTGAAGGTTATACACATTAAAAACAATGCATTTGGGGCCCTTGAGAAAAGGTTTTACATTTTTAAAAAGGACAGTTGTGATTCCCGAGAAGGTTTCACATTAAAAACAAAGCGTTTGGGGCCTTCGAGAAGGTTTCACATTTTTAAAAAGACGATTTGGACTCCCGAGAAGGTTTTACATTTTCAAAAAAGACGGTGTGGACTCCCGAGAAGGTTTTACATTTTCAAAAAAGACGGTTTGGACCCCCGAGAAGGTTTTACATTTTCAAAAAAGACGGTTTGGACCCCCGACAAGGTTTCACATTTTGAAAAAGACGATTTGGACTCCCGAGAAGGTTTTACATTTTCAAAAAAGACGGTGTGGACTCCCGAGAAGGCTTTACATTTTCAAAAAAGACGGTTTGGACTCCCGAGAAGGTTTTACATTTTCAAAAAAGACGGTTTGGACCCCCGACAAAGTTTTACATTTTCAAAAAAGACGGTTGCGACCTCCGAGAAGTTTTTATATTTTCAATAAAGACGGTTGGGATCCCCGAGAAAGTTTCACATTTTTGAAAAAGACAGTTGGGACCCCCGAGAAGGTTTCATATTAAAAAAAAAAACGGTTTGGACTCCCGAGAATGTTTTACATTTACAAAAAAGACGGTTTGGACCCCCGAGAAGGTTCTACATTTTCAAAAAAGACGGTTTGGACTCCCGAGATGGTTTTACATTTTCAAAAAAGACGGTTTAGACTCCCGAGAAGGTTTTATATTTTCAAAAAAGACGGTTTAGACCCCGGAGAAGTTTTTACATTGTCAATACAGTTGGGACCCCCGAGAAAGTTTCACATTAAAAAAAAGACGGTTTGGACTTCCGAGAAGTTTTTACATTTTCAAAAAAGACGGTTTGGACTCCCGAGTTAGTTTTACATTTTCAAAAAAGACGGTTTGGACCCCCGAGAAGGTTTCACATTAAAAAAAGAAGACAATTGGGGCCCCTGAGAAGATTTCACATAAAAAAAAGACATTTAGTTCCTATTCTCACTTTACAAAAGAATATATAATTGACCTCGCCCACCCACCCTGCCTCCATTTCGGTGATCCTTTTTGTCCAATCCGAATGAAAGGTGGATCTCAATTGAGAGAGAAAATAGAAAAATTGAAAAGCCCAAAAGTAAAAAATCTAAACATCGAAAGATTTAAAAACTGAGATGGAGAAATCGAAAAATCAGAGTATCGAGAAATCGAGGAGTCGAAAGCCGAGAAGAAAAAATTGAAAAATTTATGAATAGAGAAATTGAACAATCAAAACTTTGAAACATTTGAATTCGATAAATCTGGGAAATCAAAAAATTGAAAAATCGAAAAACTTTAAAAAATAAAAATTCGGAAAATGGAAAAATTTACATATAGAAGAACTGAAAACTCGAGTAATCGATAAACTTAGAATTTTAATAATTGAAAAATTAAAACATGGAAAAGTTGAAATATTGTGAAGACGAAGTATAATAAGCAGTCGAAAAATTGAAAAATCTGAAGTGTAACGTAAAACTGAAAAAGAAATCAAAAGATTCAAGAATCCAAAAATAGAAAAGTCGAAAAATCGAAATTGTGAAAAAATTCAAAACTGAAATAAATATACCAAAAATTAAGAAATTAAAAAATTAGTAAAATGAGAAACCCAAAAAATAAAAAAACCAAAGTTGAAAAATCGTAGGCTTAGACCCCCGAGAAAGTTTCACATTTTTGAAAAAGACAGTTGGGACCCCCGAGAAGGTTTCACATTTTCAAAAAAAAAAAAAATACGGTTGGGACCCCCGAGAAGGTTTCACATTTTTAAAAAAGACATTTGGATTTGGCGCCTCCGAGAAGGTTTTATATTTTTAAAAAATACAGTTGAGACCCCTGAGAAGATTTCACATAAAAAAAAGACATTTAGTTCCTATTCTCACTTTACAAAACAATATATAATTGACCTCGCCCACCCACCCTGCCTCCATTTCATTGATTCTTTTTGTCCAATCCGAATGAAAGGTGGATCTCAATTGAGAGAGAAAATCGAAAAATTGAAAAGCCCAAAAGTAAAAAATCGAAACATCGAAAGATTTAAAAACTGAGACATGGAGAAATCGAAAAATCAGAGTATCAAGAAATCGTGGAGTCGAAAACCGAGAAGAAAAAATTGAAAAATCGAAAAATTGACATATACAAGAACTGAAAACTCGAGAAATCCATAAACTTCGAATTTTAAAATTTGAAAAATTAAAACATGGAAAAGTTGAAATATTAAGAAGACGAAGTATAATAAGCAGTCGAAAAATTGAAAAATCTGAAGTGTAACGTAAAACTGAAAAAGAAATCAAAAGATTCAAGAGTCCAAAAGTGGAAAAGTCGAAAAATCGAAATTGTGAAAAAATTCAAAACTGAAATAAATATACAAAAAATTGAGAAATTAAAAAACTAGTAAAATGAGAAACCCAAAAAATAAAAAAACCAAAGTCGAAAAATCGTAGGCTTAAACCCCCGAGAAAGTTTCACATTTTTGAAAAAGACAGTTGGGACCCCCGAGAAGGTTTCACATTAAAAAAAGAAGACAACTGGGGCCCCTGAGAAGGTTTCACATAAAAAAAGACATTTAGTTCCTATTCTCACTTTACAAAAGAATATATAATTGACCTCGCCCACCCACCCTGCCTCCATTTCAGTGATTCTTTTTGTCCAATCCGAATGAAAGGTGGATCTCAATTATCTACTAAGATAACATTGATTTTGATTAATGACACCCCCTAAGAAAATAGAGAACGGGTGGGCGGCGGGACTCAACAATATTAAGAGTAATCACTGGAATGAAGAGGGTGTGGGTGGGCGGTACTATTGCTTACTTATAAAAGAATCTGTATGGAAAAGTTAAACTTAGCCCTGCCCGCCCACCCGTTCTGTCATTTTTGCTTCAGAAATACGAAATAAATGTTATTGCAGGTAAGTATTATAACAAAAAAATTACGATTATCGCTTTTTTTAATAGCCTACGTTCTATTAGTTCTTATTCTGACTTTACAAAAGAACATATAATTCACACCGCCCACCCACCCCACCTCCATTTCACTGATTCATTTTTTATTTAGTGCCAAATGGAAATTAAGAAATAACAGTATTGTTTTTCTAAAATTTTCTGGGAAAATGGAGTAAGCCGTTCCTGATTAAATCAATAAAATTAACTTACTCATTATTTTTTTTCTAGCTACCTGTTTATTTAAATCTAAAAAAATGAATGCAATGATAAGTCACAAGTAAAAACTCATCACATTTTGCATATTTTTGGGTAGAATTTTGAGATGACGTCATCTGCAATTTTTTTACTATTATTTGACCACTTTTAAAAATTACCTAAATATGTTTTTTGTACATTTCGACTTTCAGAAGTTACTTTTGGCTCAATTCGAAAATTCCTACCATTTTTTCATATTGACGCAAATGAAATGTGGGGATATTTTGGATTTTTTAAATTTCGACTCTCAAACCGAATATTTTGAAAAACTTGGTCCGAGGGAGGTCATGATAGTATTATGTTTTCCGAATCAGCACGTCGAAATCTACATACCAGAATTTCTAATGTATTTTTAGATAACTTTTCCCAAAACTCAATTCTTTATGAGATTTTCAACAATTTTTTTTAACAACTTTCGAAAATTACAATTACACAGACTTTTATCCCTTCTAAAATTACCTAGAGATTTTTTTTTATATTTTGGCCTTGCAAAGCTACTTTAGGCCTCATTTTTAAAAATCTTGATTTTCAAATCGAATATTTAGAACATTTTCGGGACCATAAACGCGTTGTATTTTTCAAATCAATGGCTTGAAATGTACAAAATACTTTCAAAAATTACTTAAAAACATTTTTTGTATATTTCAGCTTTCGGAAGCTGTTTTTGGCTTCACTTTTTCGAAAATTCCTACCATTTTTTCAGAATTTCCAATATAAAAATGACAATTTTTGAATTTTTAAAAAACTTTCAATTTCAAACGAATATTTCGAAAATCCTCGGTACCCTAAAACCAAGAATTAGCACTTCGAGATCACGTAGAATTTTTAATGGATTTGTAGGTAACTTTTCCGAAAAGCTGTCAGCTTATGAAATTTTCGACCATTTTTGACCACTTTCGAAAATTACCTGAACATACAATTTCAAAAATGTGGACTCTATATTATACATGATATTAATAATCTAAATACAACTTCAACTAATACAACAGACGGACAGTCAGACGGAAAGAAATAGGAGTGGGGTTGGGACCAGCTTCTGCGCTAAACACTCTATCCTCTCAAGTAAAATTTTTAATCTTTGGGAAGTACAAAATCGAGTTAATTTATGCCTTAAACCTAAACTTTACATTAACAATCCATATATACAAACAATCCTGTAGCAAATGAATTAATTTAAGATCATCCTCTTAATCCTAACGAATAGCCCTGATTAGAGTTAAAATTCTTATTACTAACGCTATATTAATACGTCCAAATTATCTACGCTTTCCAGAATGTTTACTTAGAGTAATCTTCTCGGCTCTCCCTTAACCCGACCCTTAATCACAAATGCCTGAACATCACAAACGTCAAGCGAAAAGCCCTTACATCACCATTCGCAACAACTCTCTCAAAAATCGTCGTTCAGCGACAACCATAAAAATAAAGAACCGTCCAAAACGATTTTTTCAGCGTTTCCTTGGAGATGACGACAGTCATTTCCCTCTTTGTGCGGTTCTTAATTTCCTCATTTGAAATAATCCGTTTATAAACGCTACATTCCCCTTGTTAGACTCCGTACAGGGTGGAGTTTATTCAACTCGGAATAATTAATGTTAAGGTGGTCGTTAAAACGCTAGTTCTTTATGTTGGATTTGGTCGAGATTGGACTCGAGATAAGGCTTACATTAAATGGTAGATCGCTGTTTCATTTAGCTTTACTGGAATACTCAGGGCGTATAAAATTGTATTTGCTTGGAGATAATCTTGAATTATTCCGGTGCGTCTTTAAGATAATGGGGTGTTCGAGGGTAGCGCGGAATAATCGTGCTGTATGAATAAAAAAACATAACCTCACAATGCACATTTTAGAAATGTAGACTGAATCTGGGTTAAAAAATTAAATTTTCGTTGCAAAAATTTAACACTTAACTAAGCTAAAAATGAACCTGCGGCTTCCCCCACCACTTTTCTGGAGGTGTGGGAAGCCGCAGGTTTGCAACCGATTAGGAAACGTGAATTTCGCTCAGATATTTAGTTGCACCACTCCGACAGATTTCTCCAATTTCAAACAACACAAGCATCCACAGCCTCTCTAAACTAAACCGTAACACAATATTCCTTCAGCAGTAACTAAATATCACATTATTCACTTAACCCTACCTTAACCTAAAAATAAATTACACTACATAATTTTAAATCAACACAAAAAAAAACAACATTATTTATACTTTATACAACAATTACATAAATACATATTACAATACAATAATATCAACAAAATATACATCTCTTTATGTACACCTATACAGCACGATTGGTCGTGTTTTCAAGTGACGTGTTTGAGGATCCAGGGGACGAACTTAGAAATCCGGGTGCAGACTCCGGGGAGGTTGGCCTCGGCGCAGCCGATTCCCCACGAGATGATTCCGGCGAGGAAGTAGCGGCCATCTTTGCCCCGGACCTGCAGGGGACCTCCGGAGTCGCCTTGGCAGGAATCACGGCCGCCGTTTTCGTGGCCGGCACACAGGAAAATGTCCGGGATGAACTCGTGCCTTCCGGCACGCAGGAACATGCTTTTGCACCGGTCGTTGCTCACTATGGGAACCTGAACCTGGAAATGAAGTAAAAGATTAATCTGGCGGCGAGGCTGTTAATAATTCCGGAGTAATGTGTCAAGAAGAGGAATAAGGGCGGGTTAGAGGTGGGGTTTGTATTAATTGGAAGGTGGATGTCGTGGTGTAATTGATTCGGGGGAGGGAGAGCGTGTAAGGGGTGAAGGGGGTGTCGAGGTTGACAGCGCATCGCGAGCACGACTAGAATTGGCGCAGTGACTTGAAAATTACCGGTATTCAGGCAAGACCTCCATAATTAAAAGTTCAATTTATCAATGAAATCGAAAATTACCCAAAGAATTTTTTTTGAAGGTTTTGATTTCCAAAAACTAGTTTTACCTTAATTTCTTCAAAATTTCTACCAGTCTGCCAAATTAGCAATATGAAATATGTCAATTTTCTGCACTTTTAACAATTTTGCTTTTTAAATCGTATATTTCGAAAATTTTGTAGCATTTTAGTCAGCTCAAGTTTTCGGTGCCCTTTGGACCATTTTTAACCAATTTCGAAAATTACCTAAAGAGTTTTTTTTGTAAATTTCGACTTCCAAAAGTTAATTTTGACATATTTCTTCGAAAATTCCTACAATTGTTCTAGAATCATTCATATGAAATTTTTAGAATTTTCAGAAATTTTGATTTTAAAATCGACTATTTCTAAAATCTTCGGGGCCATAAACACTCGAAATTTTTCAAAACCACACGTCCACATCTGAATTGCAGAAGTTTGAATAGATTTTTGGGTAACTTTTCCAAAAACTTAATTTTGAAACGTCCTTCGACCGCTTTTGAAAATTGCCTACAATTTTTTTGTACATTCTCAAATTTTAGCTTCATGTCTTCGAAAATTCCAAATAAATTTTGTCGAATTTTGGACTTTTAAAAATTTTGACTTTCATAGACTTCGAAAATTTGACTCCGAAGACACTATATTTTTTTAACTGACACATGAAGATGAACATTGCAGATTTTTGTGGAATCTTAGGCAACTTTTTCCAACGCTCAATTTTTCAGCATCCTTTTTCGAAAATTACACAAAGAGCTTTTTTTGTAAACTTCCAAAAGCTACTTTTGGCTTAATTTCCACGTTACCATTTTTTCCGGAAGTATCAATATAAAGTATGTCTTTTTTTGGACTAATTAAAATTTTGACTTTCAATATTATATTCAATATTTTAGTAATTAGGACATCAAGATCTACATGTAAGAGTTTTTTTCCACATTTTTAGGCAACTTTTTCAAGCTTAATTTTCAACTCAAGGGCATTTTTTGGATTTTTAAAAATTTTGAATTTCAAACGAATTTTTCGAAAATTTGCTGTATTTTTCAAATCAACAGATCTGGATCTACATGCTCGTAGATGAATTTTCCCAAGAGCTCAATTTTTAAATACTGCTTTTTTTGAGATTTCAACTGTCAGAAGCTATTTTTGGCTTCATTTTTTCGAAAATTTTTACTATTTTTTCGGAATTTTTTGGATTTCGAAAATCTTCGGAACTATAAAATAATTTTGGAGAAATTTTTCATTAGTTTGATATTTCAATACCCTTTTGAAATTTTCACCCATGTTTCGACCATTTTCGAAAATTACCTAAAAAAAATTCTTGTAGATTTCCACTTTCAGAAGCTGTTTTTGCTTTATTTTCTTCGAAAATTATTGCTATTTTTTCAAAATCGTCACTATGAAATAATTATGGCCATTTTTGGGTATTTAAAACGTTAATAATAATAATTAATATTTCGAAACTGTTACTGTTACAATTTTGTACAAAATCTCAATTTTTAAACACCATTATGAAATTACTCAAAGAATTGTTTTGTAGAATTTGACTTTCAGAAGCTGTTTTTGGCTTCATTTCCTCGAAAATTCCCACTATTTTTCCAAAATCGCCCAAAAAACATGCTGATATTTTGGATTTTGAAAAATTTTTACTTTCAAACAGAATACTTCGAAAATCTTGCTCCTAAGCCATAAAATTATTCTAAATTGTAAATTCTAAATAGCACGTCGAGATATACAAGGCAATATTTTTAAAGGATTTTTAGGCAATTTTTCCCAAAATCTCAATTTTAAATACGATTATGAAATTTTCGGCCATTTTTTGACCACTTTCGTGAAGTACTCAAAGAATTTTCTTGTAGATTTTGATTTTTCCAAAATCGGCCAGTCGTTGGATTTTTAAAAATTTTGATTTTACAATCGAATATTTCTAAAATCGACGTCTGAATTACAAAATTTTTTTTCGAAAATTACCTAAAAATATATTTTTTTGTAGATGTCGAACTTCAGGAGCTATTTTTGGCTTCATGTCTTCGAAAATTCCTACCATTTTTCCAGAACTGCAAATATGAAATTTGACGAATCTTTGGATTTTTCAAAATTTTGACTTTCAAACCGAAAATTTCGAAAATCTTGCTCCGAGGCCATAACGGTGTTATAGTTTGCTAATCAAGACGTCAAGACATGCACCAGAGATTTTTTTTTTGGATTTATAGGATGCTTTTTCCAAAGCTCAATTTTCAACTCATGAAATTTTCGAGAATTTTTTGACTATTTTCAAAAATCACTTAAAGAGAGTTCAAGTTCCAAAAGTTACTTTTGATTTACGTTTGGCGAAAATTTCTACTATTTATTTAGAATTATGAAATATTCTGACATTTGATCTGAATATTTCGAAAATCTTGCCCCCAGACCATAAAAGCGCCATATTTTTCTCATTAATACCTTGAGATATATCTAATAGAATTTGTAATGGATTTTTAGTCAATTTTTGGCAAAAGCTCAATTTCTAAACGTTATTATGAAATTTTCGACTATTATTTGACCATTTGGAAAGTTACCTACCCAAAGTATTTTCTTGTAAATTTTGACTTTCAAAAACTGTTTTTGGCTTCATTTCTTTGAAAATTCCCACTATTTTTCCAAAATCGCCCAAATAACATGCTGATATTTTGGATTTTTAAAAATTTTGATTTTCAAACAGAATATTTCGAAAATCTTGCTCCTAAGTCATAAAATTATTCTAAATTCTAAATTCTAATTAGCACGTCGAGATATACAAGGCAAAATTTTTAAAGGATTTTTAATCAATTTTTCCCAAAATCTCAATTTTCAAATACTATTATGAAATTTTCGACCATTTATTGACCACTTTCGTAAACTACTCAAAGAATTTTCTTGCAGATTTTGACTTTCAGTAGAAATGTTTGACTTCATTTTTTCGAAAATTTGCACCATTTTTCCAAAATCGGCCAGTCTTTGGATTATTAAAAATTTTGATTTTACAATCGAATATTTCTAAAATCGACGTCTGAATTCAGAAGCTATTTTTGGCTTCATGTCTTCGAAAATTCCTACCATTTTTCCAGAACTGCTAATATGAAATTTGACGAATCTTTGGATTTTTCAAAATTTTGACTTTCAAACCGAAAATTTCGCAAATCTTGCTCCGAGGTTTGCTAATCAACACGTCAAGACATGCACCAGAGATTTTTTTTTTTGGATTTATAGGCTGCTTTTTCCAAAGCTCAATTTTCAACTCACGAAATTTTCCAGAATTTTTTGACTATTTTCGAAAATCACTTAAAGAGAGTTCAAGTTCCAAAAGTTACTTCTGGTTTAAGTTTGGCGAAAATTTCTACTATTTATTTAGAATTATGAAATATGGCAATTTTTGGGGTTTAAAAAATTCTGGCATTTGATCTGAATATTTCGAAAATCTTGCCCCCAGACCGTAAAAGCCCCATATTTTTCTCATTAATACCTTGAGATATACCTAATAGAATTTTTAATGGATTTTTAGTCAATTTTTGCCAAAAGCTCAATTTTTAAACGTTATTATGAGATTTTCGACTATTTTTTGACCATTTGAAAATTTTCACTTTCAGAAACAGTTTTTGGCTTCACTTCTTCAAAAAATGCCATTATTTTTCCAAAATCACTCAAAAAACATGTCGATTTTTGGATTTTCAAAAATTTTGACTTTCAAATCGAATATTCGAAAATCTTGCCCCGAGACCATTAAGCCCTATATTTCCCGAGACCATTAAGCCCTATATTTTTCTAATTAACACCTCGAGATATACATAACAGAATTTTTAATGGATATTTAGTCAATCTTTGGCAAAAGCTCAGTTTTTAAATACCATTATGAAATTTTCGACTATTTTTCGACTACTTTCGAAAATCAGCTAAAGATATTTTTTATAGATTTCAACTTCCAAAGGTTACTTTTGGCTTAATTTTTTCGAAAATTTTTACCATTTTTCCAGAATCACGGATATGAAATATAGCAATTTTTGGGGTTTTTAAAAATTTTAATTTTTAAACTGAATTGAATATTTCGAAACTGTTGCTCCGAGGCCATAAAGGTGTTGTATTTTTTGAATTAGCAGGTTTACATTTTTACAAAGCTCAATTTTTTAACAGTTGTATGAAGTTTTCAATCATTTTTCTACCATTTTCGAAAATACCTAAAGAGTCTTTTTTGTAAATTTTTCTAAGAGCTATTTTGGTCTTAATTTCGTATTAAATGTTGATATTCAAATCCAATATTTCGAAAATATATTCCGAGGCCCAATTTTTTTCATAATTATAGGTGTATTTAAAATTTTCTAACATTAATCGCCCACTTTCGAAAATTATCTACGGATTATTTTGTAAATTTCGACTTTCAGAAGTTATTCTTGGCTTCAATTCTATCTTTTTTTCGCCAATATAAAAAAAGGCATTTTTGGATTTTTAAAAATTTTGAATTTCAAACGAATTTTTCGAAAATTTGCTGTATTTTTCAAATCAATCATGCTCATGATCTCATGCTCGTAGACGAATTTTCCCAAGAGCTCAATTTTTAAATACTGCTTTTTTTGAGATTTCGACTGTCAGAAGCTATTTGGTTTCATTTTTTCGAAAATTTTTACTATTTTTTCTGATTTTTTTGGATTTCTAAAAATGTTTACTTTCAAACGAATATTTCGAAAATCTTTGAGACCATAAAAAAATTTTGGACACATTTTTCATTAGCTCAATGTTTCAATACTCTTGAAATTTTCAATTATTTTTCGACCATTTTCGAAAATTACCTAAAAAATTTTTTTTTAATTTTTACCTTCAGGAGCTGTTTCTGCTTTAATTTCTTCGAAAATTCTTACTATTTTTCCAAAATCGCCACTATGAAATAGTAATGCCCATTTTTAGATATTTAAAAGTTTGACTTTGAAACCAAATTAATATTTCGAAAATCTTACTGTTACATTTTTGTCCAAAATCTCAATTTCTAAATACCATCATAAAATTACTCAAAGAATTTTCTTGTAGAATTTGACTTTCAGAAGCTGTTTTTGACTTCATTTCCTCGAAAATTCCCACTATTTTTCCAAAATTTAGCAAAAAACATGATGATATTTTGGATTTTTGAAAATTTTGATTTTCAAAAAGAATATTTCGAAAATCTTGCTCCCAAGCCATAAAATTATTCTAAATTCTAAATAGCACGTCGAGATATACAAGGCAACATTTTTAAAGGATTTTTAGGAAATTTTTCCCAAAATCTCAATTTTTAAATACGATTATGAAATTTTCGACCATTTTTTGACCACTTTCGTGAAGTACTCAAAGAATTTTCTTGTAGATTTTGATTTTCAGAAGAAATTTTTGGCTTCATTTTTTCGAAAATTTGCACCATTTTTCCAAAATCGGCCAGTCGTTGGATTTTTAAAAATTTTGATTTTACAATCGAATATTTCTAAAATCGACGTCTGAATTACAAAATTTTTTTTCGAAAATTACCTAAAAATATATTTTTTTGTAGATGTCGAACTACAGGAGCTATTTTTGGCTTCATGTCTTCGAAAATTCCTACCATTTTTCCAGAACTGCTAATATGAAATTTGACGAATCTTTGGATTTTTCAAAATTTTGACTTTCAAACCGAAAATTTCGAAAATCTTGCTCCGAGGCCATAACGGTGTTATAGTTTGCTCATCAAGACGTCAAGACATGCACCAGAGATTTTTTTTTTGGATTTATAGGATGCTTTTTCCAAAGCTCAATTTTCAACTCATGAAATTTTCGAGAATTTTTTGACCATTTTCGAAAATCACTTAAAGAAAGTTCAAGTTCCAAAAGTTACTTTTGGTTTAAGTTTGGCGAAAATTTCTATTATTTATTTCGAATTATGAAATATGGCAATTTTTGGGGGTTAAAAATTCTGACATTTGATCTGAATATTTCGAAAATCTTGCCCCCAGACCATAAAAGCGCCATATTTTTCTCATTAATACCTTGAGATATACATAATAGAATTTTTAATGGATTTTTAGTCAATTTTTGGCAAAAGCTCAATTTTAAACATTATTATGAAATTTTCGACTATTTTTTGACCATTTTCGAAAGCTAGCCAAAGCATTTTCTTGTAGATTTTGACTTTCAGAAACCGTTTTTGGCTTCATTTCTTGGAAAAATCCCAAAAACAAGTCGATTTTTGTATTTTCAAAAATTTTGACTTTCAAATCGAATATTCGAAAATCTTGCTCCGAGACCATTAAGCCCTATATTTTTCTAATTAACACCTCGAGATATAACAGAATTTTTAATGGATATTTAGTCAATTTTTAGCAAAAGCTCAGTTTGTAAATACCATTATGAAATTTTCTACCATTTTTTGACCACTTTCGAAGCTACCCAAAAACTTTTCTTGTAGATTATGACTTTCAGAAGCAATTTTTGGCTCCATTTCTTCGAAAAATTCCATCATTTTTCCAGAATCGACAAAATAAAATGCCAATTTTTGGATTTTCAACAATTTTGACTTTCAAACCGAATATTCGACAATCTTGCTCCGAGACCATAAAGGCTCTATATTTTTCCAATTAACACCTCGAGATATAAATACCAGAATTTTTAATGGATTTTTCAGGTAATTTTTGGCAAAAGCTCAATTTTTAAACGATATTATGAAATTTTCGACCATTTTTTGACCATTTTCGAAAGCTACCCAAAGCATTTTCTTGTAGATTTTGACTTTCAGAAGCCGTTTTTGGCTTCATTTCTTCGAAAAATCCCACTATTTTTCCAAAATCGCTCAAATAACATGCCAATTTTTGGATTTCCAAAAATTTGACTTTCAAACCGAATATTACGAAAATCTTGCCCCGGAATCACAAATTTACACGCCTCGAGATATCATAACAGAATTTTTAATGGATTTTTGGTCAATTTTAGGCAAAAGCTCGATTTTTAAATATCATAATGAAGTTTTCGACGAATTTTTCGCCAATTTCGAAAGCTACCCAAAGAATGGTCTTGTAGATTTTTACTTTGAGAAGCCGTTTTTGGCTTCATTTTTTCGAAAAATTGCACCATTTTTCCAAATTCGCACAAAAACATGCCAATTTTTGGATTTTCAAAAATTTTGACTTTCAACCCGAATATTTAGAGAACTTTTTCCAAAGCTCAATTTTTCAGTGCTCTTATGAAATTTCAAAAATTCCCTAAACAGATTTTTTTGTAGATTTCGGCTTGCGAAAGCCACTTTTGGTTTAATTTTTTCGAAAATTTGTACCAATTTTCCGGAATCAATTTTGCGATACCTTTAAAATTATAGACCATACGAAAATTACCGAAAGCTCAAATCGACGCTTCAGATTTCCGTGGATGACTCGATTACAACTTGAATAAAATTAATAAGACGAATATTTTTGTTTTTCGCTCGTAATAATTTATCACTAGCTCAATTTTAATAGCCATTGAGTTATCCAGTGTGCTTTTATTAAATTTCGAGCACCACGATTGGGTTTTACATTAAATTAAAATGCACGCTGCCATCAGAATGCAATAATCGTCAATAAAACGAGTGCAATTAAACGTTTCGTTAAAATCGCAATTATTACAACCTACGACCCGGTGATTTACCGCGAATTCCTCGAACTAAATAAAAATCGGAAACAAATTGAGCCTTGCCTCCGACCCAAGGATTTATAACATGAATATCCACTCCTCCGAATACATGTCGAAGTCTGAATTATATATGTCCAGGCCTAAATTTCACCCTGTTAATAATAAAAAAGCATTTCTCCGATACCCGAAGCGATATTTCATATTTCCTTCCAAATCCTTAATGATCATAAAATCGTGAAACTTTTTCCGATCGGAAAAGCAGTAAAAACTTTGGCAAGTGTGGACACTACTCAGTTTTCTCTCTCGCCACGAAAGCGCCGAGATAATGGATTTTTCCAGGCGGTTTTATCAAACGAAAACAAACGAATAGGTTTGTTTAGGTTAGGGCTGAATCCAGCGCTTATACGAACAATGATTAAAACCCAAACCCCACATAAAACATTCATTTTTTTTCGCACTTATCGGAGATCTGTCGATAACTTTCCCCCCTGCTTGCGTCGAGATAGTGGGGAAGTTTTATTCTACTTTAACGGTTAATACGGCTGTGAGTTATTTTACGCAAGTTGTTTTGAAAGTTGCGAAATTGTTCGGAGTTTTGAGTTCGAAACAGCTGCGTAGGCTCGGCTGTGTCGCAGACTTCGCCAACTCTGCCACGCATAAAACACGCACAAAAATGAACTCCGAGTTACTTATTATTACGTAGTGAAACTAAAAAGCGAGCTCGTTTTTGGCGTGTGACGTCACGTAGTGTTAAGTGGCGGACTTACCTCTTGTAGAACGGATGGCAGCGTCCCGCCCTCGCTCAGCCGCCCCCATCCGGTGACGGTGGCGTTCTCGCCGATAAGCAGATCATCGGAAGCGGGCAAACAAATAGGAGAAATATGCGGAGCAAACTCGAGAGGTTTATCAAGCTGAACCAGAGCCAAATCGTATTCATACGTGAAAAAGTTGTACTTGGGGTGAACCACTTTCCTCGCCACCGCTCTTTCGACGTACGGAAATTCCTCTTGAACACTTGAAAAATCGTACTCGCCGACCCGAATCCGGATCTGGGATGTAAGCAAACTGAAACATTTGAAATATTTCTGTGAAAGGAAAAAATCGCTTTGACTTCGGTGCAGGCAAACATTTCCTTTCGCTTGATTTGTGTTTGCTTTTGAATTTAAGGATGAATTAAGCCTCGCCGCTTATTAATTGGGGTAATTGAAAGGGAAAAAGTCGATGTGGGGATGTAGTGGAGGTTTAATTGGTGACTGGCGAAGCAATCAGTTAGTGTCTCGAGAAAAATTAAATAATTATTGTCTCTTGTGCCTTCGTGACTACTGAATTCCTCTAGATGTAATTACGATTTAATTAAGTTAGAAACTTTGATCCCTTGATACGGCCACGGGAAGAGAACTGTGTCAGAAGCGTATTATGAAAGAAGTTAGTTCGTTTTGTAGACCATTAAAGGAACTAATTTTGTAAAATAATCTCCACATAAACCAAGCTGGAACCTTCTTTTTTGTTTGGATATGCATGAACACAGTCCTGCTTTTAATTAAAACCTCTGCTTAAGCGAAACTGAAATTAAGTTTCAGCTGAAGCAAGTTAAGGGACAAATTAACTTAACATTCACTTACGATAAAACCGTTTAGTAAATGTGTACGCAGGACAGTTTCCATGACGTGGTTAACATTCTGAAATTCTTGCAAAATCATACTGGCTGGCGAGACGCCACTGATTCTAAGTCACTAGACGTATCTGCGACAGAAAGCCAAAAGGCCGTAACTTAAACAAAGCAAAACTTCTACTTTGAAGCTAAAATCACTTCAGTTTTGTGCAATATTAATCTTGAAATATAGCATGGAAAAATGGGGAAAAGCTTACAATAAGGGAAAGTTATGTGTCAGTTGGTTGGCGTCGTGTGTTCGGTTAACGTCTTTGACAATCGTGACATTGTAATTTTATTTTTTCCATCTTTTTAATGTCTTTATCTCCATTTCTTCAATTTATCTCATTTTTGTCTCAATTTTTTTGGTGTAATTCACCTGTTCCTGGATCTTTTGACATTTTAAAAATTTCTCTTAATGCAGATTTATAATTCGACTGTACTTCTATTCTACTAGAATAGTCACAAGAATAAAAACAGGGATGGATGGGCGGGGTTATTGCTTGCTTAGAAAGATACTGTAGAAAACTTAGTTCCGCCCACCTCCTTTCTGCATTTTGCTAACCTATTTTATTTCTGTAAAGTGGATTTTTATTTCACAAGCGGACGAATGTAAGATTTAACTCAAAGTTAAAAATGGCCCCACCCACCCACCCCTACTTCGTTTTCACGACCCTTTTTATTGGCTCTGAGACGGAAGTTGGATTTTATTTTGACAAATAATACAATCTAGAACTGGATATTTTTTAATAAATTTTTTATTTTTATTCGAAAAACGACGTTGCCATCAACGTTTAGAGAGAAATATTTAAAAATCACATGAAGTAGACTCAACTTTGTAGGACTGTAAACGCCACGCCTCGTCAGCTGGCCAATGAAATGATTTTTTTAGGGTGGAGCTTGTGTGAATAGGAGGGGCATCAGTAATACTGTGTTTTAATATAGTCTTCAAGTTTGTTTTTTTAACACAAGCTGATTTTTTTCTAGTTATTTTATTTACAATTTATCTATTTTCTCACCAACGATTTAACAGATTTGAGAAGGAATCAAAAAGGTAAAAATGTAGTCATTAATTAACAATATTAAGAGTTATAACCAGAAATAAGAAAGGGTGGGTGGGTGGGGCTATTGTTTGCTGATAAGATTGGAGAAACAATCTAAACTTAACTCATCCCAAGCGGCAGAATGTAAGATTTAATTCAAAGCCAAAAGTAGCCCCACCCAGCCACCCCCACTACGTTTTGAAAGCCCATTTTATTGGCTCTGACACGAAAGTTGGATTTTATTTTGACAAATAATAGAATAGAGGACTAAATATATTTTTTAAAGCATTTTTATTTTTATTCGATAAACGACGTTGCCGTCACCTTTTAGTGAGAAATATTTAAAAATCATATGGAGTAGACCCGACTTTGTACAACTGTAAAAGCCAGGCCTCTTCTCCTGCCCAATGAAATGATTTTTTAGGGTGGAGCTTGTGCGAGTAGGAGCGGCATCAGTAAAACTGTGTTTTATTATAGTCTTCAGGTCTGCTTTTTTAACAAAGCTGATTTTTTTCTAGATATTTTATTTACAATTTATTTATATTCTCACCAAAGATTTGACAGATTTGAGTGGGAATCGAAAAGGTAAAAATGTGATTTTTAATTAACAATGTCAAGAGTTATCACCAGAATTAAGAAAGGGTGGGTGGGCGGGGCTATTGTTTGCTGATAATACTGGAGAAACAATCTAAACTTAACTCATCCCAAGCGGCAGAATATCAGATTTAATTCAAAGACAAAAGTAGCCCCACCCACCCACCCCTACTCCGTTTTGATGACCCATTTTATTGGCCCTGACACGAAAGTTGGATTTTATTTTCACAAATAATAGAATAGAGGACTAATTTTTTTTAAAGCATTTTTATTTTTATTCGATAAACGACGTTGCCCGCAGCTTTTAGTGAGAAATATATATTTAAAGATCATATGGAGTAGACCCGACTTTGTACAACTGTAAAGGCCACGCCTCTTCTCCTGGCCAATGAAATGAGATTTTAGGTTGGAGCTTGTGCGAGTAGGAGGGGCATCAGTAATACTGTGTTTTAATAGTCTTCAGGTTTGCTTTTTTAACACAAGCTGATTTTTTTCTAGATATTTTATTTACAATTTATCTATTTTCTCACCAATGATTTAACAGATTTGAGTGGGAATCGAAAAAGTAAAAATGTGATTATTAATTAACAATGTCAAGAGTTATCACCAGAATTAAGAAAGGGTGGGTGGGCGGGTCTATTGTTTGCTGATAATACTAAAGAAACAATCTAAACTTAACTCATCCCAAGCGGCAGAATGTCAGATTTAATTCAAAGACAAAAGTAGCCCCACCCACCCACCCCTACTCCGTTTTGATGACCCATTTTATTGGCCCTGACACGAAAGTTGGATTTTATTTTCACAAATAATAAAATAGAGGACTAGTTTTTTTTAAAGCATTTTTATTTTTATTCGATAAACGACGTTGCCCGCAGCTTTTAGTGAGAAATATATATTTAAAAATAATATGGAGTAGACCCGACTTTGTACAACTGTAAAAGCCACGCCTCTTCTCCTAGCCAATGAAATGAGTTTTTAAGTTGGAGCTTGTGCGAGTAGGAGGGGCATCAGTAATACTGCGTTTTAATATAGTCTTCAGGTCTGCTTTTTTAACAAAGCTGATTTTTTTCTAGATATTTTATTTACAATTTATCTATTCTCTCACCGACAATTTAACAGATTTGAGCAGGAATCAAAAAGGTAAAAATGTGGTCATTAATTAACAACATCAAGAGTTATCCCCAGAATTAAGAAAGGGTGGGTGGGCGGGGCCATTGTTTGCTGATAAGGCTGGAGAAACAATCTAAACTTAACTCATCCCAAGCGGCAGAATGTAAGATTTAATTCAAAGTAAAAAGTAGCCCCACCCACCCACCCCTACTCCGTTTTGATGACCCATTTTATTGGCCCTGACACGAAAGTTTGATTTTATTTTCACAAATAATAGAATAGAGGACTAAATATTTTTTTAAAGCATTTTTATTTTTATTCGATAAACGACATTGCCCTCAGCGTTTAGAGAGGAATATTTAAAAATCACATGAAGTAGACCCGACTTTGTACAACTGTAAAAGCCACGCCTCTTCTCCTGGCCAATGAAATGAGTTTTTAAGTTTGAGCTTGTGCGAGTAGGAGGGGCATCAGTAATACTGTGTTTTAAAATAGTCTTCAGGTTTGCTTTTTTAACACAAGCTGACTTTTTGTAGATATTTTATTTACAATTTATCTATTTTCTCACCAATGATTTGACAGATTTGAGTAGGAATTGAAAAGGTAAAAATGTGCTCACTATTTAACAATATCAAGAGTTATCACCAGAATTAAGAAAGGGTGGGTGGGCGGGGCTATTCTTTGCTGATAAAACTGGAGAAACAATCTAAACTTAACTCATCCCAAGCGGTAGAATGTAAGATTTAATTCAAAGTAAAAAGTAGCCCCACCCACCCACCCCTACTCCGTTTTGATGACCCATTTTATTGGCTCTGACACGAAAGTTGGATTTTATTTTGACAAATGATAGAATTCAGGACTAAATATTTTTTTAAAGCATTTTTTTATACAAAAAACGACGTTGCCGTCAACTTTTAGTGAGAAATATTTAAAAATCATATGGAGTAGACCCAACTTTGTACAACTGTAAAAGCCACGCCTCTTCTCCTGGCTAATGAAATGATTTTTTAGGGTGGAGCTTCTGCGAGTAGGAGGGGCATCAGTAATATTGTGTTTTAATATTGTTTTGAGTTTGCTTATTTAACACCAGCTGAATACTTTATAGATATTTTATTTACAATGTATCTATTTTTTCACAACGATTTAACAGATTTGAATAGGAATCGAAAAGACAATAAGGTGGTTATTAATTAACAGCATCAAGAGTTATCACCAGAATTAAGAAAGGGTGGGTGGGCGGGTCTATTTTTTACTGATAAGACTGGAGAAACAATCTAAACTTAACTCATCCCAAGCGGCAGAATGTAAGATTTAATTCAAAGCCAAAAGTAGCCCCACCCACCCACCCCTACTCCGTTTTGATGACCCATTTTATTGGCTCTGACACGAAAGTTGGATTTTATTTTGACAAATAACAGAACAGAGGACTAAACATTTTTTTAAAGCATTTTTATTTTTATACGAAAAACGATTTTACCGTCAGCTTTTAGGAATAAATATTTAAAAATCAAATGAAGTAGACACGATATCTTACAACTGTAAACGCCGCTCCTCTTCTCTGGGCCAATGAAATGATTTATTAAGGTGGAGCTTGTGCGAGTGGGAGGAGTGTCAGTAATATCGTGTTATAATGTAGTTTTTACGTTTACTTATTTAACACCAGCTGGTTTTTTCTAGATATTTTATTTACAATTTATCTACTTTCTCACCAACGATAACAGATTTGAGTATGATTCTAATAAAATAATAGTGTTATTAATTAACAATATTAAGAGTCTTCACTAGAATAAAGAAAGGGTGGGTGGGCGGGGCTATTGCTTGCTCGTAAGACAGCAAACAAAATCTAAACTTAACTCCGCCCACCTCCTTTTTCAATTTCAATGATTTATTTTATTTGTTATAAAACAGGAATTGAATTTTGATTTGACAAGCGGTACAATCTAAGATTTAACTCAAAGAAGAAAGTGACCCCACCCACCCACCCCTATTCCGTTTTCATGACCCATTTTATTGGCTCGGACACAATGAGGTACAACTGTAAATGCCACCCACACCTCCTACACTGCATATTCATAAGATTGCAAAAAATTCTAAACTTAACTCCGCTCCAATATTACTGAAGCTCCTCCCACTCACTCAAGCTCCACCTTAATAAATTGTTTCATTGGCTCGGGGACAAGGGCGTCGTTTGAAATTGTACTACATTGTAGCTACTTTAAATGATTGTTTTTTATTTCTGTGTAACAGTTAACGGCAAGGTCGTTTTTCGAATAAGTATCAAAATTGTATTAAAAAAAAATGTTCAATTTAGATTCTATTATTTGCCAATTTAAATACAACTTCCATCTCAGTGCCAATAAGAAGGGTCATCAAAACGGGAAACGGGTGGGTGGGTGGGGCTACAGTCTTACATGCAAGCAATAACCCCGCCCACCTGCCTACCATTCAAAAAAACGACTTTGCCCCCAGCGTTTATATAGAAATATTAAAATTATATGAATGAACGAATCATCGATATCGAATTATTTTCTTTTGCCTTTCTGCCACAGATACATAACCTAAAAAAATATAACAATCTTACTCGTCGACGCAGTGTCCAGCCGTCGCAATCCAGTTCTCATTAAGCACCGCTCCTCCGCACCTATGTGTGCTCGAAAACCCAAAAAACGAGGTCCTCCGCACCGAGACCTAAACACAAAACACAATAAAATATCTCCGACAAATCCGATTATTTCCGGGTTTGCGAAATAAATCAGATTTGCATAATTCTTAAAATTAGTAGAAAGAGAGCAACCTTCTTCACTCGTATAAATAAAAATAATCTGAGAAAGCGCAAAAGTGTACACAGCGTTAAAGCTAGATAAATGTGAGTTAGTATCGGACGCAGGAAAGGGTGAGGAAGACGGAAAAGAAGCTTAAGGAACATCCGTAATTTCTTATCTTACCTGCCAGGGCCATCGGCCGAAGGGAGCGTTCTTGCCGCCGACGATTTTCGACTGGGGTTGCGTTAACATCTTAGGCACACCGCATTCTGCAATTTACACAAAACACCAAAAACATTATATGGATTTCAGTTGCTTGACGGCGCGATAAATGGGGAGATTTAGTGGTAAATGGAATCTGGGGCGGGGCGGGGCGTGACAGTGATGTAAGGCCTACTGGGAGAAAATTAAAAAAGTAAATGGCCAAAAGATAGCTGCTACAATAAAAACATAGTGGTGGAGGATGTAGACGCGAATGAAGCATAAATTTACGCGAAAATTTGAATAAAGTGGTGACTAAGCAGGTTCTAGATACTCTCGATTGCATAGACTCTCTAGATTCTTTAAGGACGCCGGGCAGGTATCCTTACCACTAGACCACGAAGCCGTTTATCTTTCTCCGCTTACCAACGTGTTATTGTACCGCCACAGTAGTACCAATTGGTTCAAAATTTTCCAAATTAATTCATTTTCCGTGAAAATGTGAAAATGACATCCCCTCTGTCTCCTCTCGTTAATCGCAATTTAATTTCCACTAAACCTCAACCGCTAAACACAAGAGTCACTTCCCCTCAGCCGGGAGCTTTTATCCTAATTCATTTTTCATGAGAAAATAAAGCACAGCTATGAAAACACCTCTTTATTGTCAGCGCGGTGTTATAAGCATTCGTGTTATTTTCGCATCGCTTACGCAAAACAGGCAGAAATGGCAGAAAGATTGGCTTCTTCCATGGCGCACTCCAGCGGCGGCTTTGCAGGACTGGAAATTACTTAACGTATTCGAATAAAGCAAATGTCACGCGAGGGTGAGATTGTTGGAGGCACCCCAGGTGATGAGACGTGATGTTTTCATTGGTCGACCTTCACCCTCGGGCGAAAAACAGCAATAGCGTCGTAACGATGATAAAGAAAACCCGGCGAGGCAAATAAAAACGAAAGTCATCGGAGATTCTGAAGCAACAAAGATTTCGATTCTGTCAGTGTAAAGTTCGGATTAGGGGAAAGGAGATTCCTTGATTGCAAAAATATTGAGTTTCTTCGATTGATCTACTTTGTTGTAGGGTTTCGAGATGGCGAAATAAGTACCTACTCAAATTACGGCGTTTTATATAAGGGTTTAGAATTTAAGAGATTCAGCTGCCTTACTTTCGCTTTTACGTTCCATTCATATTATGCGATCTGAATGTGGAATTATCCGAAAGGAACGAACATGGGGAAAGTCAAAACGCAAGAGGTATTTTTAATGATGGATTATTTTATTTTTTACAGGTTAACGACTTGGATGTAAACTAGTTTTTGATGTAGAGAAATAAAGAAAACATTTTTAAAAATCTTAATTTAATATAATGATCAAGTTTCATTTCATGTAAATATAGAGGAAGAACAAAAAAGCGGCGGACTGATAAGCAACCTGCAAAAACACGATAAGAGCCAGTCATGTATTAGTTGGTTGCCGACGTGTGTTCGGTTAACGTCTTTAATAAAATAAAAATTATCATAATAACATCGACGTACCCAAAAAAAATATTGAGAACGTTTTGCTGCATTGTAGCTTAATTAATAATTTTAATCGCTTCCTCTGTTTGCTTAATGCATGCTTAATTGTCGCATTCTTTCGAGGTATAAACATAAACAATTGAAGTTACGCATGTCCTGTAAATATATTTTTAGTTAGTTAGTTTTTGAATGAGAAATCAAAATATTGTCAAAACTGAAAAATTGAAAAATCCAGAATTTTAAAAATTTTAAATCCAAAAATCCTACAATTAAAATATCGAAAAGATATATAGAATAGATTAAAATTTTGAAAAAATACAAAATCCAAAAAACAGAAAGTCGAAAAATCTAAAAATTAAAAAAAAGAATCGCAAAATTGAGAAACGAAAATTGCTAACAATCAAAAAATGGGAGAATTCAAATTTGAGAAATTTTAACTTGGTTGAAAGCTGTTTCGACAGAACTTCCCTCGCACCTAAAGTATAGTAAAATATCTAGCATTTTTGAGTTTTTACAAAATTAATAGAAGCAAAATCAGTTTTATCTTAACAAATACTAGGCCCGCCCACCCGCCCCCTCTTTTCCCAGAGGATATGTGATTTGCCAAAATCAGTTTTATCTTACCAAGTACTAGCCCCGCCCACCCACCCCCTATTTTTTCAGAAGATATGTCATATGCCAAAATCAGTCCTATCTTACCAAGTACTAGCCCCGTCCACCCGCCCTTTATTTTCTCAGAGGATAGTACCTGCTAGTACTTGCTAAGGTAAGTGTTATTTTGACAAATGATATATCCTCTGAGAAAAAAGGGGCGGGTGGGCGGGGCTAGATCTTGCTCAGACAAGATTAATTTTGGCAGACGCCATACTCCCTGAGAAAATAGAGGGCGGGTGGGCGGGGCTAGTACTTGCTAAGGTAGACGGACAGACGAACAAATATACAGACAGACAGATGGAAACGGGGGACCTAATTCTTCGTACTCTAGGGGTCATGAGTAAGATCGAGAAAAGGTAAAAGTAGAGAAATTAATTCCGAAAAATTGAAAAATCTATAACCGAGAAGCCAAAAAATCGAAACAACAAAAATGTAAAAAATCTAAAATTTAAAAATTCGAAAAATTGAAAATTTACAAAATCGAGAAATCACAACGTCATTGTTACGAATCGAAAAATCAAAAAATTGAAAAATCGAAAACTGTAAGATTTAAAAAATCGCAAAATTTTGAAAAACCGAATAAGTAAAAAATCAAAAAAAAAGAAAGTCGAAAAATCTAAAAATTTAAAAATCGAAATATGTACATAAAAAAATCCTAAAACTTAAACATTGAAAATTTGAACATCGAAAATTGAGAAATCGAGAAATCGGAAATATCAAAAATCGAAAATTCGAAAAATTAAAAAATCGAAAAATTTAGATTCCAAAACTGAAACGTCGAAAATGGGAAAATCGAAAAATCGAAAAGATGAATTATTATCGAAAAACTAAAATATAGCGAAATCGAAATCGAAATACTGAAAAATCGCAAACCACAAAAAATCAATAATTCGAAAATAGGAATTTTGAGAAATATATGTGGCCAAAAATCGAAAAATGGGAAAATTCAAAATTGAAACTGAAACATTAATTTCGAAAAATTGAAAAACCGAAAAATCTAAAAAGGAAAACACAAAAAATCGAAAGATTGAGAAATCGAAACAATAAAGTGAAAAATCTAAAATTTAAAAATTCGAAAAATTGAAAATTTTCAAAAGCAAAACATCATCGTCAACGAATCGAAAAATCAAAAAATTGAAAAATCGAAAACTGAAAGGTTCAAAAAATCGCAAAATTTTGAAAAACCGAATAAGTAAAAAATCCTAAAACTTAGACACTGTATATTTGAACATCGAAAATTGGTAAGTCCAGAAATCGGAAATATCAAAAATCGAAAACTCGATAAATAACCAAATCCATTAATCAACAAGTTGAGAAATCGAAAAAAACCAAAAATTTACAAACGACAAAAGTTGAAAAACTAAAAAATCGAAAAATTTAAATACATAAATCAAACTGAAACGTCGAAAAATTGGAAAACCGAAAAATCGGAAAGATGAACTAATTATCGAAAAACTGAAAAATCGCAAAATCGAAATACCGGAAAATCGCAAAGCACAAAAATCAAAAATTCGAAAATTGGAATTTTGAGAAATAAATGTGGCTAAAATTCGAAAAATGGGAAAATTCTAAATTGAAACTGAAAAATTAATTTCGAAAAATTGAAAAACCGAAAAATCTAAAAACGAGAAGGCAAAAAATCGAAGATCGAGAAATCGAAACAACAATAAAGTGAAAAATCTAAAATTTAAAAATTCGAAAAATTGAAAATTTACAAAATTGAGAAATCAAAACGTCATCGTCAACGAATCGAAAAATCAAAAAATTGAAAAATCGAAAACTGAAAGATTTAAAAAATCCCAAAATTGAAAAATCCTAAAACTTAGACACTGAATATTGATGAGTCCAGAAATCGGAAATATCAAAAATCGAAAATTCGATAAATAACCAAATCCATTAATCAAGAAGTTGAGAAATCGAAAAAACCAAAAATTTACAAACACCGAAAGTTGAAAAACCAAAAAATCGCAAAATTTAAATAGATAAATCCCAAAACTGAAACGTCCAAATATTGGAAAATAGAAAAATCGAAAAGATGAATTATTATCCAAAAACTGAAAAATCCCGAAATCGAAATCCAAATACTGAAAAATTGCAAACCACAAAAAATCTAAAAGTCGAAAATAGGAATTTTGAGAAATGAATGGGGCTAAAAATCGAAAAATGGGAAAATGCAAAATTGAAAAATTTTAATTTACAAAAACCGATAAAGTAAAGAGTGAAAAATCGAGATATCGAAAAACTAAAAAATTAATTTCGAAAAATTGAAGAACCGAAAAATTTAAAAATGAGAAGCCAAAAAATCGACAGATTGAGAAATCGAAACAACAAAAAAGTGAAAAATCAAAAAATTGAAAAATTGAAAAATATAAGATTTAAAAATCGCAAGATTTTGAAAAACCGATTAAGCAAAAATCAAAAAACAAAAAGTCGGAAAATTTAAAAACTTAAAAATTGAAATACATAATAAAAATCTAAAAATTGAAAAATCCTAAAAGTTAAACATTGAAAGTTTGAAAATGTAAAAACGAGAAGGCGAAAAATTAATAGAAAACAAAACAATAAAAAATTTAGAAACCCAAAAATTGAAAAATCGAAAAATTTAAATACAAATTCCAAAACTGAAACGCCGAAAAATTGGAAAACCGAAAAATCGAAAAAATGAATTATTATCGAAAAACTGAAAAATCCCGAAATCGAATCCAAATACTGAAAAATTGCAAACCATAAAAAATCAAAAAGTCAAAAATAGGAATTTTGAGAAATGAATGTGGCTAAACATCGAAAAATGGGAAAATGCAAAATTGAAAAATTTTAACTTACAAAAACCGATGAAGTAAAGAGTGAAAAATCGAGATATCGAAAAACTGAAAAATTAATTTCGTTAATTGAAGAACCGAAAAATCAAAAAATGAGAAGCCAAAAAATCGAAAGATTGAGAAGTCGAAACAACAAAAAGTGAAAAATCTAAAAATTGAAAAATCGAAAAATATAAAATTTAAAAAATCGCAAGATTTTGAAAAACCGATTAAGCAAAAATCAAAAAACAAAAAGTCGAAAAATTTAAAAATTTAAAAATCGAAATACATAATAAAAATCTAAAAACTGAAAAATCCTAAAAGTTAAACATTGAAAGTTTGAAAATGTAAAAACGAGAAGGAGAAATCAAAAGAAAACAAAACAATAAAAAATTTAGAAACGCAAACATTGAAAAATTGAAAAATTTAAATACAAATTCTAAAACTGAAACGCTGAAAAATTGGAAAACCGAACAATCGAAAAGATGAATTATTATCGAAAAACTGAAAAATCCCGAAATCGAAATCCAAATACTGAAATATTGCAAACCACAAAAAATCAAAAAGTCGAAAATAGGAATTTTGAGAAATGAATGTGGCAAAAAATCGAAAAATGGGAAAATGCAAAATTGAAAAATTTTAATTTACAAAAACCGATAAAATAAAGAGTGAAAAATCGAGATATCGAAAAACTGAAAAATTAATTTCGAAAAATTGAATCGAAAAATCTAAAAATGAGAAGCCAAAAAATCGACAGATTGAGAAATCGAAACAACAAAAAAGTGAAAAATCAAAAAATTGAAAAATTGAAAAATATAAGATTTAAAAATCGCAAGATTTTGAAAAACCGATTAAGCAAAAAATCAAAAAACAAAAGTCGAAAAATTTAAAAACTTAAAAATCGAAATACATAATAAAAATCTAAAAATTGAAAAATCCTAAAACTTAAACATTGAAAGTTTGAAAATCTAAAAACGAAAATAAAAAATTTAGAAACCCAAAAATTGAAAAATCGAAAAATTTAAATACATAAATATCAAAAGATGAACTGGACATTTTTTCTATAAATTATTTAAAACAATTTTGGGGGACTTTGGTGTTCTATTTTTGGAAAATATTTTTTCCTCGCTTAATCTATATTAGTTTTTCAAAAATTTAAGTCTCTCACTGTAGTCCCCAGCGCGTCTCACAATTCGTGTTTAAAGAGCCAAAATGTGGCCCTTCTGCTTCCATTATTCATCGCAACTCCCAACTCTTTATTAAATATTTATTCGGAATAGGTGGAGACATAAATTTCATCATATTGTATTTACCTACGGTTCTAATTTTATTTCCTTTGTTAGAGTCGACCTTCAGCGCATAAATCATCCCCGTAAGAGCAAACGCAATAAATAGCAAGAAAAGTACGAAACCTCCCCTTTCATAAATAACCGCCCCGATGTGAGCGTCCACGGCACCAAAAACATCAAACCCATCTAGGCTTCTAATAACCCCCTCCGCCCGACCGACCAGGAATCGCCCAGCTTTCTATGAATAAATTTTTGCTCCGTGCTTATTGTATCGGCTTTATTTTCTCCACGCATGTTTTTTTAGATTGGAATCCTTATTTATCGCGCTTACCGATTCTGGCAGAGATTGGCGCTGACACGACATTTCCAATTGTGGATGTTTGCATCAAATCCGGAGCTGTTGAAACTTTTTGCACGGCGGCTTCGGTGGTGACGGCAGGACTCGCTGGAGTTGGCCTGTAATCAATATAATCCTGTAAACTGTCGAGAACAGAAGTAAAAAGGAACGAGTCTAATTTATTCTGTATGCTATTGCAAGATTGTGTGCTGTTTTCGGCTGCTTTTTTCGGGATCGGAGCGACCTCGGAGGATTTGCGAGCAGATTGTGCGAGGATTTTCTCGCGGGTTTATGGCGGGATAGGAAATTACGGTTTGTAAAAGACCGCCCTGAATAATAATTATCGATGGGTTTTCGGGGCATAAGGTGATATCTCGCGAGTTAATTAGAAGACGAGTTTTATCTGGAAACTTCGTACGCGCTGTTGGACACTTTTTAATTCTGGGTGGAGTTTAATTAAAGTTTTTCGGAGGGGCCGGTTTAAGACAAATGTGTGAACAAACAACGTTATTAAAATACGGCCGCCGGATAATTTACGGCTAAATAGCTTATTTCGGTATTAAAACTACACAGTATGGTCCGAAAAACAAAATCGATATGGTGCGCGGAAAACGTATTCCGTACTAAAATTGTATTGGATAATTTTAGAAAATCTTTCCCATTTTTTATTTTTGAAGAGTCAAAAACGGCATCAAAAAAGAACAAAACAGAAGAAAAAAAACACTACAAAAAAAGGCAAAAAGATTCAAAAAATCCAAAAACTTTATGAAATGCAAAAAATCCAGACAATCCCAAAAAAATAACTAGAACATTCGAAAAATCAAGAAAAACCAAAAAGTCCAAACAATCCAGGCAACCCAAAAAATCTAGGGAATACAGAAAATATAAAAAATTAATGTAATGCATAAATCCAGAAAATCCAACAAAGTCTAAAAAAATTCTTCAAATCCGTTAAATCCAAACAATCTAAAAAATCCAGGAAGTCTAAAAAAGTCCAAAAAATCTAGAACATCAAAAAATTCCAAGAAATCTAAAAAATCCACGAAAATTTGAAAAATTAAAAAAAAAAACAAGAAATGCAAGAAACGCAGGAACCTTAAGGAATCCAATAATCCAAAAAATCGAAATATCCAAAAAATAAAAAAAAAATCTGAGAAATGCAAAAAACCCAAGAACCTGAGGAAAACCAAATAGTTTAAAAAAAACTAAAAAGTTCAAAAAATCCAGGAAGTCCAAAAAGTCCAAAAAAATCTATAAAATCCAAAAATTCCAAGAAATCCAAAAAATTAATGAAATCAAAAAATCCACGAAAATTCGAAAAATTCAAAAATTCCAATAAATGCAAGAAACCCGGGAACCTTAGGAAGCCCAATAAATCCAAAAAATCGAAATATCCAGAAAATAAGAAAAAAATTCTAATAGTCCAAAAAAATCTGGGAAATGCAAAAAACCCCATGAACCTAAGGAAATCAAAATAGTTCAAAAATACTGCAAAGTTCAAAAAATGTAAACAATCCAAAAAATCCAAGAAGTCCAAAATGTCCAAAAAATTTAGAACATCCAAAAATTTCAAGACATCCAAAAAATCCACGAAAATTCGAAAAATCAAAAAATCCAAGAAATGCAAGAAACCCAGGAACCTTAAGAAATTCAATAATCCAAAAAATCGAAATATACAAAAAATAAAAAAAAAATCCGAATTGTCCAAAAAAAATCTGAGAAATGCAAAAAACCCAAGAACCTCAGGAAATCCAAATAGTAAAAACTAAAAAGTTCAAAAAATCCAGAAAGTCCAAAAAGTCCAAAAAATCTAGAAAATCCAAAAATTCCAAGAAATCCAAAAAATTAATGAAATCAAAAAGTCCACGAAAATTCGAAAAAATCAAAAATCTCGGGAACCTTAGGAAACGCAATAATCCAAAAAATTGAAATATCCAGAAAATAAGAAAAAAATTCGAATAGTCCAAAAAAATCTGAGAAATGCAAAAAAACCATGAACCTCAGGAAATCCAAATAGTTCAAAAATACTGAAAAGTTCAAAAAATTCGAAAAATTCAAAAAATCCAAGAAATGCAAGAAACCCAGAAACCTTAAGAAATCCAATAATCCAGAAAATCGAAATATCCAAAAAAAACAAAATCCGAATAGTCGAAAAAAAATTTGAGAAATGAAAAAACCCAACAACCTCAGGAAATTCAGATAGTTCAAAAAAAGTAAAAATCTAAAAAATTCTAGGAAGTCCAAAATGTCCAAAAAATCTAGAAATTCTGAAAATTCCAAGAAATCAAAAAAATTAATGAAATAAAAAAACACAAAAATTCGAAAAATTAAAAAATCCAAAAAATGCCGGAAACCCAGGAACCTTAAGAAATCCAATAATCCAAAAATCGAAATATCAAAAAAAAAATAAAGAAAAAACCTTGTAGTCCAAAAAAAATCTGATAAATGAAAAAATCCAAATAGTTCAAAGAAACCAAAGTTCAAAACATCCAAACAATTAAAAAAAAACAGGAAGTCCAGAATGTCCAAAAGACCTAGAAAATCCAAAAATTCCATGAAATCCAAAAAATTAATGAAATTCAAAAAATCCACAAAAATTCGAAAAATACAAAAAATCCAAAGAAATGCAAGAAACCCAAGAACCTTAAGAAATTCAAAAAATCGAAATATCCAAAAAATAAAAAAAATCCAAATAGTCGAAAAAAAATTTGAGAAATGCAAAAAACTAAGACCTTCAGGAAATCCAGATAGTTCAAGGAAACTAAAAAGGTAAAAAAATCCAGAAAGTCCAAAATGTCCAAAAAATCTAGAAATTCCAAAAATTCCATGAAATCCAAAAAATTAATGAATTCCAAAATATCCACAAAAAATCGAAAAATTAAAAAAATCCAAGAAATGCCAGAAACCCAGGAACCTTAATAATTTCATCAAATCCGTTAAATCCAAAATATCTAAAAAATCCAAACAATCCAAAAAATCCAGAAAGTCCAAAAAGTCCAAAAAATCTAGAACATCAAAAAATTCCAAGAAATCCAAAAATCCACGAAAATTCGAAAAATAAAAAAAAATCCAAGAAATGCAAGAAACCCAGGATCCTTAAGGAATCCAATAATCCAAAAAATCGAAATATCCAAAAAATAAAAAAAAATCTGAGAAATGCAAAAAAACCCAAGAACCTCAGGAAATCCAAATAGTTAAAAAAAAACTAAACAGTTCAAAAAATCCAGAAAGCCCAAAAATTCCAAGAAATCCAAAAAATTAATGAAATCAAAAAATCCACGAAAATTCGGTAAATTCAAAAATTCTAAGAAATTCAAGAAACCCGGAAACCTTAGGAAACCCAAAAATCCAAAAAATCGAAATATTTAGAAAATAAAAAGAAACCGAATAGTCCAAAAAAATCTGAGAAATGCAAAAAAACCCAAGAACCTCAGGAAATCTATCCAAATAGTAAAAACTAAAAAGTTCAAAAAATCCAAAAAGCCCAAAGTCCAAAAAATCTAGAAAATCTAAAAATGCCAAGGAATCCAAAACATTATTGAAATTCAAAAAGTCCAGGAAAACTCGAAAAATTCAAAAATTCAAGAAATGCAGGAAACCCGGGAATCTTAAGAAATCCAATAATCCAAAAAATCGAAATATACAAAAAAAAATCCGAATTGTCCAAAAAAATCTGAGAAATGCAAAAAACCCAAGAACCTCAGGAAATCCAAATAGTAAAAACTAAAAAGTTCAAAATCTAGAAATTCCAAAAATTCCAAGAAATCCAAGAAATCCACAAAAATTAGAAAAATAAAAAAAATTCAAGAAATGCCAGAAACCCAGGAACCTTAAGAAATCCAATAATCCAAAAATTCGAAATATCCAAAAAAATTTAAAAAAATCTCGATAGTCCAAAAAAAATCTGAGAAATACAAAAAATCCAAATATTTCCAAGAAACTAAAAAGTTCAAAAAATCCAAACAATTGAACAAATCCAGGAAATCCAGAATGTCCAAAAAATCTAGAAAATCCAAATATTCCAAGAAATCCAAAAAATTAATGAAATCCAAAAAATCCACGAAAATTCGAAAAATTCAAAAAATCCAAGAAACGCAAGAAACCCAGGAACCTTGAGAAATCCAATAATCCAAAAATCGAAATATCCAAAAAATAAAAAAAATCCAAATAGTCGAAAAAAAATTTGAGAAATGCAAAAATTTCAAATATTTCCTAGAAACTAAAAAGTTCAAAAAATCCAAACAATTGAACAAATCCAAGAAGTCCAGAATGTCCAAAAAATCTAAAAATTCCAAAAATTCTAAGAAATCAAAAAAATTAATGAAATCCAAAAAATTCAAAAAAATTCGAAAAATACAAAAAATCCAAGAATTGCAAGAAACCCAGGAACCTTAAGAAATCCAATAATCCAAAAAATCGAAATATCCAAAAAATAAAAAAAATCCGAACAGTCGAAAAAAAAATTGAGACATGCAAAAAACTAAGACCGTCAGGAAATCCAGATAGTTCAAAGAAACTAAAAAGGTAAAAAAATCCAGAAAGTCCAAAATGTCCAAAAAATTTAGAAATTTCAAAAAGTCCAAGAAATCCAAAAATCCACAAAAATTCGAAAAATTAAGAAAATCTAAGAAATGCCAGAAACCCAGCAACTTTAAGAAATCCAATAATTGGAAAAATCGAAATATCCAAAAAAATAAAAAAAAATCTCGATAGTTCAAAAAAAATCTAAGAAATGCAAAAAATCCAAATATTTCCAAGAAACTAAAAAGTTCAAAAAATCCAAACAATTGAACAAATCCAGGAAGTCCAGAACGTCCAAAAAATTTAAGAAATCAAAAAAATTAATGAAACCCAAAAAATTAAAAAAAAATCGAAAAATACAAAAAATAAAAAAAAATCCGAATCGTCCAAAAAAAATCTGAGAAATGCAAAAAACCCAAGAACCTAAGGAAATCCAAATAGTAAAAACTAAAACGTTCAAAAAATCCAGAATGTACAAAAAGTCCAAAAAATCTAGAAAATCCAAATATTCCAAGAAATCCAAAAAATTTACTGAAATCCAAAAAATCCACGAAAATTCGAAAAATTCAAAAAATCCAAGAAATGCCAGAAACCCGGAACCTTAACAAATCCAATAATCCAAAAAATCGAAATACCCAAAAAATAAAAAAAAATCCAAATAGTCGAAAAAAAAATTTGAGAAATGCAAAAAACTAAGACCCTCAGGAAATCCAGATAGTTCAAAGAAACTAAAAAGGTAAAAAAATCCAAAAAGTCCGAATTGTCCAAAAAATCTAGAAATTCTTACAATCCAAGAAATGCCAGAAGCCCAGGAACTTTAAGAAATCCAATAATCCAAAAAATCCAAATATCCAAAAAAATAAAAAAAAATCTAGACAGTCCAAAAAAATCTGAGAAATGCAAAAAATCCAAATATTTCCAAGAAACTAAAAAGTTCAAAAAATCCAAACAATTGAACAAATCCAGGAAGTCCAGAATGTTCAAAAAATCTAAAAAATCCAAAAATTCTAAGAAATCAAAAAAATTAATGAAATCCAAAAATTCAAAAAAATTCGAAAAATACAAAAAATCCAAGAAATGCAAGAAACCCAGCAACCTTAAGAAATCCAATAATCCAAAAAATCGAAATATCCAAAAAAATAAAAAAAAAATCCGGAGAGTCCGAAAAAAATCTGAAAAATGTAAAAAATCCAAATAGTTCAAAGAAACTAAAAAGTTAAAAAAATCCAAACAATTGAAAAAAACCAGGAAGTCCAAAAAATCTAAAAAATCCAAAAATTCCAAGAAATTCAAAAAATTAATGAAATTCAAAAAATCCACAAAAATTCGAAAAATACAAAAAATCCAAGAAATGCAAGAAACCCAGGAACCTTAAGAAATCCAATAATCCAATAATCCAGAAAATCGAAATATCCAAATAATAATAAAAAATCCGAATAGTCGAAAAAAAAATTGAGAAATGCAAAAAAACACCCAAGAATCTTACGAAATCCAAATAGTAAAAACAAGAAAGTTCAAAAAATCCAGGAAGCCTAAAAAGTCCAAAGAATCTAGAAAATCCAAAAATTCCAAGAAATCCAAACAATTAATGAAATTAAAAAATTCCACGAAAATTCGAAAAATTAAAAAATCCAACAAATGCCAAACAATCCAAAAAATCGAAATTTCCAAAAAAACGAAATATCCAAAATATTAAAAAAATTCCGAATGTTCCAAAAACTGACAAGAAATATTCGGCTACAAAAGATAATAAAAAGACCTAAGAAACGGGACAAAAAGTCCACAAAAATACTCGGCTACAAAAAAAAATGACAAAAAAAAGGACCAAAAAATTATAAAAAATGTGAAAACAAAGGACAAAAAACAAAAAAAATGGGACTAAGAGAAAGCGGTTAAAAGGTGAAAGAAACATCACAAAAAAACGAGAGAAAAAAGAGAAAAAAAAGGTGACAAAACCAGATGAAAAGAACGCTATAGAGAAAAGTTACCAAAAAAAAATTAAAAAACCCACAAAAAAATGTGAAACCATGAAATTAAAAATCCATACAAATTTAAAAAAGTCTACACTAGTCCAAAAATATTCCATAAAAAAAACACAAAAATTTACAAAAAAAAAATGAAAACAGGACATAAAGTCAATAACACAAAATGAGAAAGACATCACAACAAAAAGTGATAAAAAAACAACGAGTTTACAAAAAAGCCAATAAAAAAAATTGTAGAAACAGTGGACATAAAGATCTATAAAAAAATCAGAAAAATAAGGCCAACAGAAAAATGACTAATAAAAGGGGACTAAAAATTGCGAATAAAAAGCGGAAGTCAGAAAATGCAAAAGAAAAGGTCACAAAAAAAGAGAACAAAAAACCCTAAAATAAACCAACAAATAATTAAAAAACAGCTTCACAAAAAGAAGACAAAAAAATCAACAAAAAAATGTAACTATAAAAAGTAACAAAAAAAAGAGAAAAAAGAACAAAAATTCACAAAAATGTCCAACAAAAAAAGCCACTAGAAAAAGTAGTAAAAAAAACAATAACGAGCTGAAAAAAAATGCCAAAGCAATCACAAAAAAGAACATAAAAAAACAAAAAGTCGCCAAAAAAGACAGCAAAAGATGCGAAAATAGAAAAAAAAATCCTAAAAATAATACCGACGCAAAAGAGCCAAAAACACGACAAATAAAGAAGACAAAAAACGCTACAAAAAAGGGAGACAAATAAAAAATTCGGTAAAAATGATAAGAAAATGTTGGCTACAAAAGTGACAAAAAAATCATTAAAAAACAAAAGAAACGAGTCAAAAAAGTCCACGAAAAGTGACAAAAATGCAAAAAATGCAATAAACAAGGATAAAAAGTTCACAAAAAATTTGAAAAGAGAGGAAAAAATATCCATTAAAAGAAAAATCACTAGAGAAAGTAATCAAAAGGAGGAAGTCATAACAGGCGAATGAAAAAAATTGAGAAAACGCTACAAAAAAGGAGACAAATAAAAAATTCAAAAAAAATAAGACGACTAGAAAATGACAAAAAAAGGTGACTACAAAAGTGACAAAAAAAGTAAATTAAAAAAAACAAACATGACTGAAAAAGTAATTAAAAGAATGAACTTAAAAAAAATGAATGAAAAATTAATAAAGCTTCAAAAAGTCCACAAAAACTACAAAAAAAAGAAGGTGAAAAAACCTCAACAAAAAAAATGAGGGAACTAAATAGTGACAAAAAAGAAGATTAAAAATAGACAAAAACGTAAGATAAAAAAACATCAAAAAAAAGATGAATACAAAAAGCTGCAGAAACCGCCAAAAGAATCACAAAAAGAGAATAAAAAGTCGACAAAAAAACGCAACAAAATCCAGAAATCTGTCTGGCCACCTCGTGAGCTGGCGCACCAGCTTGCTGAAGCCACATTTATGCAAAAATAATTTCACCCAAAACTATTTTTTTTTTTCAAAACGCTGCTTCCAGTCAAATATGGAAACAAAAATATTTACATATAAAGCTTCAAAACAAACAGATACCTAAAAACACCTCAAGTAGCGTATTAATTATTATTAAAAACAATTTAAAATGTTCTGTGAGTGCTCTACTGAAAAAAACGTGTTAATTAAATGCACACTTTGAAATAACATTTCCTTCCGTCCAGAAAGAACACCAACGAATAAAATTTAACGATTCCGTCAGTTATGTATACATATTTTGAATTTTATCAAAAAAATAAATAATTAATCACAAACTTCGAGCTGCAAAGGATAAAATTGCGTTGAAAAAAAAGTCGTAAACTCTGGCGGATATCGAAAAAGCATTAAAATTTAAAATCAATCCTGCAACGCCAAAAATGCAAACAAAGCCCCTGCACATACTTTTTCGTCGTCGGTTTCGTCGTCGTCCCCTTGCTCCCGAACTTCGTAGTATTCTGTATCGGCTTCTTCGTAGGTTTAGGCTTCGGCTTAAAACTACTAGGTTTCGCTTTCACCCTCGTCACGAACCCCGGCTCCGTCGTGAACTGCCACTGCGGTTTGGGGTCCGGCTGCAGCGAATTCTGGTTATTCGACGTGATGAAGCCCGGCTCCGTCGTGTGCTGCCACCCAGGTTTCGTGTACACTCCGATCGCTATACTGTTGGCTCCAGAGAGGGCGTCGGTGTGTCTAGGCGGCTGAGTGGGATTCCTGCTGGGCGAGTTGGGTCTTATGTTCATAGATGCCACTACGGTGTGCGCTGGGGGCGGCGTAACCGGGCGGAATTGGGTTTTTGTTGACTGACTTAGGTGCGAATGACTGGAACGAAATGCGTAAGTGTGAAAATGAACCGATAATTGGCTGGGGAAACGAAGAGGAGGAAGGGATTCAGGTCACGTGGGAGGTGGTAATGAATTGTAGCTTTGTGGATAATGGGAGTGTTTGGGTTTGGAATTAATGGGAGATAGTTGAAGATCGATACGTTGGGGTTTTAAGGGTGCCGTCTGGAGGCAAAATATCTGCCTGGTCAAAGTTAGAATAAAACGACCCGGGAGATGCTGCCTCCTGTTAGTGAATTGCTAAAATGTGAATAAATGCAGCACCGATCCGTAGAATTCTACGTTTTACGGTACGGAAAAGTTTTAGTACACAAGCCTCAGTGCCTGTCTAGCCATAATAATTGCAAACAAAACCCGGGTACCTGAATTTACCCTTGACCGTTCAAAACCGGAAAGATGTAAAACTCACTGATTCATTTTCCTATTTTGGCTACAGTTACTTCTTTCCAGTTATTTATTTTTTTTCCGTACTTAAATTGTTTTCGGTAAATATATTAAATATATGTAAATATTAAAGTACCTCCTACTGTCGGGGAATCATTTGTAGATATGTGATTTATTCCTATCAAGGATGTGTTGTTTGTCTGAATTACAGGAACATTATGTAAAGCAAAAATTGGTCGCGCCAAGGTACTATTTACGAACGGGAGGGATTTTCCTACTATCTGCACTGTCGGACATGCCCATTCATTACAAATAGAATATTTTTGGCGGAAAATTTTTCTTAAACTTAATAATGTATAAGAGTTTGGTTTTGTTATTTACTTTATCGTTTGCAACAAAACAATAGTAATAAAAATAAAAATATATTTACCAAGTAAATAACAATAAATTGTTAAAATTATTAGCCGCAATCGTTTGAAAATGAATAATAACGTGTCCTTGAAGCTATTAGCCACATAGCAAAATTTTTTACTTTCTTCAACGCAAATCATTAGTACGTTGTATGCAAGTAATTCTAAGCATTCAACGGTGGTTTTTTATGTAAGTACTAAAATATTCACGTTAATTATTTTGGCGGCTAACTGCATGGCAGAAGGCAGTTTATTTAAAAATTTGACTTTGCTTAAACTGTTTGTTAGTATATCGTTTTCTAAGGATTTAAATAATTAATTTTAAATTTTTAATAGAAGCAGCTGCTATTTTTTATGCATATTAACTTTGACTTGCACTTTTAATTTTACGTATATCATATGCTTGCGCATCGTAAACCTCATTTTTTTGTATAAGGTGTAAATATTTTTTGTTCACTACATATTTGTCATACTGTTTCGGAAAGATTTTATTTTAAATTTTAGGCTTGAACAACAGCTTGAACGTAATTTTAAATTCGGAAAAAAATTGTTACTCAAATGGAGTCGAAAGCGTGTACAATCGCATGCAAATGTTTTGAGCCTATGGGCGGATCGTTTTTGCCTGCCCTCACCGAAGAAGGCAGTCCAAATCCTTCAAGGGCAGAATTTGTAGGTAGGCTCAAACTACAACGAAATTTACATTTTACTCTATAAAATTTTATTGACAAAAACGGGACGGACAGTAGTTACATTTGGTAAGAAATATTTATGGCTCACGCCAGTTCTCTCGAATTTGTCGGAGAAGATTTAGCAGGTAGTTGTTCCCATAAAATAATGGTCATAACATCTTTCGACCAATTGTTCCGTATAAAAAATTTCATCACTTTTTCAAATAAAATACTTTTAAATGTTCATAATAAATAAATAAAAAAAAACATATTGTCGTTCAGTGACATGTAACTGGCATAATAATAAAAAAGTGCCATTTTTGTTAACTGAAATTATTAAATTTCTCTAATCATCCCCACCAATAATGCGATGACGTCACTTCAAATTTATGCATAGTAAATGGGTTTTAGATTGTATACAGTAACATAGTCCTACACATGTAGTTTATGACTCCGTGTTGAATTTTTATCCGAAACGTCCAGATTTTTGGAAAAAAAATCAAAATTATAAAACAATATTTTGCAATTTAATTTTGAATTTGCAAAATCGAATACTTTGAAATCTTGCAGATGTTTTAAAGTCATGATAAACATGATACATTTTTTATTAAAATATATTTGCTTATCCCCTCTAAAAAATTTATGACGTCACCTCAAAATTTTGCAGAATAAATCCTATCTTAAATGTATAAAATATGATGAGTTTTTATACTTGTGATTTATCACTGCATTAATATTTTTTTAGATTTGGTTATACAGGGTGTCTCAAAAAAGTTAATGACTGAGTCAATTTGTTTTATTGAAGAAATCAAGAATAGCAAAACTGAATACATACTTTGAAATATTGTAGATGTTTTAAAGTTTTTGTAAGCATGGTAACTTTTTCGAAAATTTGATTAATCAAATATGCGGCAAATCGAAAATCGGAAAAACTGAAATTCACTAATGCAAAAAACAGAAAATCCAAAAATACAAATCGTAAATATCGAAAATCTAAAAATGGATAACCAAAAAATCGAAAATTCAATTAATCAAATACCGAGGTCGATCGAAAAGTGGAAATTCACAAACCTCAAAAATCGAAAAATCGAAAATAGAAAAACGGAAAAACCAAAAAATCGAAAAATCGAAAATAGAAAAACGGAAAAACCAAAAAATCGAAAAGTCAAAAATTTGTAATACTGAAAATTAAAAAAATCAAAAACAAAAATTAACAAAAATCGGAAATTAAAATAATCAAAATATATAAAGTATAAAAAATTGCAAGGCCTAAAAACTGAAACGAACAGAAAAATCGAAAAAGCAAAAAATTGGAAAAACAAAAATTCGAAAAATCTAAAATCGCAAAAGTGGAAAATCGAAAATCTGAATAAAGAAACTTGGAAATTCTGAAAATTGGAAAATCGAAAACCAAAAAATCGGAAAGAAACAAAATTGAAGTCCAAAAGGTGAGAATGGAAAAATTGAAAACCGAAAATTCTAAAAATCGACAATGGAAAAATTGAAAATCGCAAAATTTAAATTGAAAAATTGAACATTGAAAAATCGATGAATTGAAAAATCGAAAATTCGACTACTCAAATTTCTAAAAATCGAAAAATCATAAAATCGAAATATCCAAAATTCTAATGGTCGAAAGTCTGAAAACTGAAACTCGAAAATTCTGAAAAGCGGAAAATAGAATATCGAAAAATTTAAAAGAAAGAAAATTGAAGTCTAAAAACCGAAGAATGGAAAATTTAAAAATCAAAAATACGAAAAATCAAAACCGAAAGGTTCAAAGATTTAAAAAGGAAAATCGAAAAATCAAAAATCTGAAAATTGAAACTCGAAAATTCGGAAAATCGAAAAGTAAAAAAATTGAAGTCTAAAAGCTGAAGAATGGAAAACTAAACAATCGAAAATTCGAAAATCAAATATCGAAAAATCGAAAAGCCGAAAAATCGAAAATTTGATGAATCAGATATGCGAAAAACAGAAAATCTGAAAATACAAAGCTGAAAAATCGAAAATCTAAAAATGGAAAAACCGAAAATCGAAAATTCAATGAATATAATACGTAGGTCGATCGAAAAACCGGAAATTCACAAATCTGAAAAATCGGAAATTTGCAAGATTGAAAAACCGAAAATTGAAAAATCAAAAAACCGAAAAATGGAAAATTCAAAAATCGAAAAATAGGAAAACAGAAAATTCGAAAATTCATAATATTGAAAACTCTAAAAGTCGACAATTCAAAAATCGAAAAGTAAACAAATTTCAAAGCCTAAAAAGTGACGAACAGAAAAATCGAAAACTCGTAAAATCATAAAGTGGAAAATCGAAAATCGAAAAATTAAAAAATCGGAAATCGAAAAATGAAAAAAAAACGAAAATTCAAAAATCGAATATACCGAAACTAAAATAATAGAAAAGTGGAAAAGTAAAAATTGCAAAGTCTAAAACTGACGAACAGAAAAATCGAAAAATTGAAAAAAATCGAAAAATATCTAAAAATGGAAAAATCGAAATGCTCAAAAATCGAAAATTCGATTAATCAATATTCTCAAAATCGAAAAAACGGACACAAATCCACAAATCTGAAAACTCGAAAATCGAAATATCGAGACTCGAAAAATTAAAAAACCGAAAAATTGAAAAATCCCAAATCGAAAAATGAAAAACCAAAAATTCAAAAATCAAACTATCGGAAAGTAAAATAATCGAAAAATGAAAAAATAAAACAAATCGCAGAACCATAAAAACTGAAACAAACAGAAAAATCGAAAAACCACAAAATCGGAAAAACGAAAATCGAAAAATCGTAAAATCAGAAAATGGAAAATCGAATACTCGAAAATTGAAAAATTGAAGGTCGAAAAATAAAAAAACCGAAAAATCGAAAAATTTAATGATTAATGGAAAATCGAAGAATTAAAAACGTAAAATCGAAAATTCAAAAATCAAAAAAATCGGAAAGTAAAATATAATCGAAAAACGCAAAAAAGTTGCAGCAAAGTCTAAAAACTGACCAACCGAAAAATCAACAAATCGAAAAACGGAAAAACCGAAAACTCGAAAATTCAAAATACCGCAGATTTGAAAAATCAGAAAATGGGAAAGTAAAAAAATCGAAAAGTTGATAGAAAAATGGAAACTGAAAAATCTAATTAGATGAAACGGTTGGTCGAAAAAACGAAAAATCGAAAATCGAAGTGATCTTTTTTTGAGACAGCCTGTATAAGTAAATCTAAAAAATATTACTGCAATGATAAATCACAGGTACTGACTCATCATATCAAATTTTGCCATGACGTCATGCATTTTTTGGCGAAGCTAAGCAAACACATTTTGATCGTGGCTTTGAAAGTATTCTTCGACTTTCGTTCCATTTCAAAATTTACTTTTTGTATATTTCAGTGGTCACAACGAGTCCACTAACTACGCTGAAGTATGCAAAGATTAAATTTGTCACCGAAAAGATGTCGGTCGAAGAACGTTCGGTGCGGTGTTACACCTCGACCCAAGAGAGACAGCAGTCAAGGATAACAAATCGAACGGATAAAATAAAGCGTCAACCATGATTGATAAACTTTAAACCAAAATTATGAAGTTTATAAACTGAACATTTTTTTTTTGTTTTTTGAAATGTAGTACACTTCAAAAAATGTCCGTGACTTAATTTAATGTGAATTTTATACCTATGGTTGGCACAATTAGACCTAATACTAGTGTGATTTTGAGCATATTCTCGATTTTATTAGAGCAGAATAGGTTTTTTTTTCTAATTTTATAAGTTACGGAAACTAATAGCACATCACAGATATTGCAAAAAAAATTGGGCTCAGGTTCCAACTAATTGACAAGATTTCAATTAAAACCCAAAAACCCAAAAAATATAAATGGAATGGTAAATCACAAGTATAGACTCATCATATTCTGAACATATTAGATAGGGTATTTATAAAATTAAAACTAATTCAGAGTACGAATTTGGTCAACACGTAAATTTCGTTTAGTTTGAGCCTACCTACAAATTCTGCCCTTGGACGATTTGTACCGCCTCCTTCGGTGACGACCGGCAAAAATGATCCGCCCATAGGCTCAAAACATTTGCTTGCGATTGTACAAGGGATAATTTCAGTCCGCAATACCAGTCCCACTTCCGGTGACAAACAAAAGTTGTTAAATTTATTGTAGGTGGTTGTTTACATCTGGCTGGTAGAAATGGTAGAGTGCTATGAATGTAATTGTTTGAAATGCACGTAAAGTACCTTTTTTCGGCAAAACTCAGTTTTGGAACAGTTGCCAATGTTGCTAGTGTCCTACAGAAGATAATATGCTTTTCTACCTGCCATCAATTCATCTCTTTTTAATCATACCTATATCGGCGTAGGTTGATTATGATTACAAAACTTTGACATGGTTTTACTTCTTTCATCTTCACCAACAACTCAATGACGTTTCAGAGTATATATAATAAAACACGTTTCAATTTTATTTTTTCATACAGGATAAAAAATAATTAATATAAAACAGATTTATATGTGCCTCAGCTGCGGAGGATTGTAAATACCTTTTGATCTCTTAAATTAAACATACTTAATAACTAACTTTTAACGTATCCATCTTTTTTACTGTTTTAGTAATGCGATATCAAAATTTTATTCCGATAAATCGCTGAGTAAAAACAGCTCCCCCTGGTGGACAAGGTCCACATTAAATTAAGTCTGCAACCAAACCAGAATCTAAGTAAACCTGTATTCTGCTACGGCATCATAGCTCGTTTAATGGCGATTTCTCGTTTCAACAGATTCTGTCTTTTCGAGAGTTATTTACCTCAGTCGTGAATTTTTTAGGATTATAAATGGTATCAAAAGAAAGCTGACACTTTTCCCCAAGGACCTCCTATCTCAGAATGCAAATCACTTCAGCACTTCTTCAAAAAACGCATCAATGTACCGGTTAAATCTGGTGTAAAAATTGGTCAACTTTATAATTTTTTTTGTAAAAACTGCGGACTAGATATGAATATAAATATGGAGGTCCCCTGGACTCAAGTTTGTTAATTCGAAATATAATTTTTAGCGAGCCTTAATAATAATTATTAGGGTAAAAATATGAGGCGCCATTGTTTTTAGCTTAAAGGTGTCAAGGCAATCTTACAAGTGCACCCAACCCGATCCATAAATTTCTTCGGTATTAAAATCATGTCCCAATGTTATCTCGTCTACCATAAATCGTGGGTGGCAGGTAGATCGCGGCTTACCTTGTCGGCCTAGGCCTGTTGGTTGGTCTACTATGACTAATTGGCTTGTTAGTGGTATGACTATGATGACTAGGAGCTGTGTAGAGCACGGCCGGTTGGTCGTGTTGCAAAGGCACAACGTTGTTGTCGGTAGCATTATGAGCACAGCAGGAACCGAACATGAAAGTGTCTACGCACATGCCGATGTGGTAACCTTCTGATTTGATGCACTCGTAGACAAACATGCACGTGCCCTCTTGGCCGTCCACCCAGCAAGGCTTTGGGCTGATCTGGTACGCTGAAACAAAGTTAAAACACCATCAACATCTCTCCTTCATTACCGCAAGCCAACAATTTATTTTAATTTAATGGCCAATGTTGTAACTTTTAATAATCAGTAATCACACTGCACTCGGGTCGCGCCAACTTTCCACAATGGCGAAATTTCTCGTCAACCGACACAGAAATGAATTATTTTGACGGATAATTTTCATGTGGCTTTTGTATGCAACGCACGTAACACTCGTTGAAAAGCTCGTTTGAAATCCACCTGTTGTTAAAGTTGGAATAACAGCTCGGTCGTGCTCATTGAACTGGACAATCCTAGCTCCATTCCTGTACTAATTTATACACTTCGACTGCCGCAATTATTTAATCAATTTGTTATTGTCCATGAGGAGGATAATTCGAACAGGCAGCGATGGAGATGAATTGTGCTGCGAAATAGAGCTGTAATGGTTCGAATTATGCAAGGTGATAATATCGATCGACAAGGCGGAGTTGCACTAGCTTGTTAGAAATAAAAAATTATTCCTAATAGAAAGTAATACAACTGGATAACAATCAATGGTAAATAATAATCGTTTATAGCGAGAAAATGGAGGAAACCAAGATAAACATAGAAAGGAAACAAAAGAAAAATGAATCGAAAAAAGGGAGAGAAAAGAGGATCAAAAGAGAAAGCAAATAACAAAGAAGGGAAAATATTGTGGCAGATAATAGAAGAAATGGGAAATTTTGAATAGAAAACACGGAAGGAGATGAAGAAGGAGAATGAACGTACGGAAGTAATTCGAAGTAAAAGAACGTATGTAGTGAGAGAAGAAACAAAACGGGAGAAAATGAGAGTGTAAGTGGGTAAAAGGGCGGTTGGATTTGAAGCGAAGTTTAGTGAAAGAGGTGATCGTAAAATATTGCAAGAAGGTTGGAACGAAATAAGAAAGGAAGGGGGGAAAACATGTTTGGAACGAAAGAGACAAGCATTATGAAGGAAAGGGATATGCATGTGAAGAAATAGAAAGAATGAGAGAAATGGGAAGAAGTATGAAAGAAGAACTGAGTGTAAGAAATAAGGATCGAGAATATCGGAGTCTAGATATAATGCAGAGTATAGAAAAATAGTAAAGGATGAAGTACCAAAGTACACAAAGAGAGAGAGAGTATAAAGGAGAAAAGAATGATGGCGAGATTTAGATGTAGAAATGAAAAGAAAGAGAATAATTTTTAGATGGATGAAACTGACAGAATGAGTAGGATATGTTGGAGACAGGGAGAAACAATAAAGCATATGCTGGAAGAATGTGAAGGATTGAGAGAATCGGCGGAAAGTAAGTAAGAAGTGCTAAACGAGGATGGAAGAGGACTGGGCAAGCACAAAGAATACAACAATTATTATTATATAAAACTCGAATATTTACTTTATTTTTTTTATTGATTTATTTGTATTATATAGATTAAGTTAATTTGTACACCTACTGAGAATTTTATTAAGACTGTAAGGCAAATAATAAATTAATACTACTATATTAACTTTTTTGAGCCACCTGTATAAGCAAATCTAAAAAAATACGAATGCAATGATAAATTACAAGTAAAAACTCATCATATTTTGTACATTTCGGGTAGATTTAGGAAGTTAACTAGTTACTTTGCAATTTAACACCTTTAAATTTCACAAGTTTTTACGAGATTAATAGAGAGAAAATCAGTTTTATCTTAACAAATACTAGGCCCGCCCACCCGCCCCCTCTTGTGCTATAGGATATGTGATTTGCCAAAATCAGTCTTATCTTACCAAGTACTAGCCCCGCCCACCCACCCTCGATTTTGTCAGAAGATATGTGATTTGCCAAAATCAGTCCTATCTTACCAAGTACTAGCCCCTCCCACCCGCCCTCGATTTTTTCAGAAGGTATGTGATTTGCCAAGATCAGTCCTATCTTACCAGGTACTAGCCCCGCCCACCCGCCCTTTATTTTCTCAGAAGCTAGTACTCGCTAGTACTTGCTAAGATAAGTCTTATTTTGGAAAATGACATATCCTTTGAGAAAAATAAAGGGCGGGTGGGCGGGGCTAGTTCCTGGTAAGATAAGACTGACTTTGGCACTTTTCACATTTTCGACCATTTTTCAACTCGAAGTTATTTTAGGCTTCGTTTCTTCGAAAATTCGTACCATTTTTCCAAAATTACTAATTGAAATATTACAATTTTTACAATTTCTTCAAAATAGCTCGCTAAAAAAATGTTGGGAGATAAAATAAAAAAATTATTATTAATTTTTATGTCACAAAAAATTTCGCATCCTAGATTCTATTATTGATAAAAATGCTAGCATTGCTGCTTGTATTACTGCCGAATATGGTGTTTAGTGTATTTCTAGTATTATCTTTAATAGTCTACAAACTAAAATTTTGTTTTTTCTTCTGACATGCCCAATTTAATAACTTTTTCACTTTCTTTTTTTTTTCTTTTTTTTTCTTTTTTTTTACTTTCCCTATAAAATGGGCAATCCCGTTGGGAAAGTTGTGTTTAATAATAATAATAATTATTATTATTAGCTTCCACTCCCACTCGACAAAGGAACATAATTAGCCCCGCCCACCCACCCTGTCCCTTTTTCATTGATTGATTTTATTAGATCTGAATGAAATGAATGATCATATACTGAACAGAAACAAAATTAGTCGTTAGAATGAGAAGAGGGGGGAGGGTGGGTGGCACTAGGACTTGCTAAGATACGACTGATCTTGGCAAATGACATACCCTCAAAAAAAATAGAGGGTGGGTGGGCGGGGCTAGTATTTGATAAGATAAGACTGATTTTGGCACTTTTCACATTTTCGACCATTTTTCAACTCGAAGTCATTTTCGGCCCGTTTCTTCGAAAATTCGTACCATTTTTCCAAAATTACTAATTAAAATATTGCAATTTTACATTTTCTTCAAAATAGCTCGCTAAAAAAAATTTGTAGATAAAAAAAGAAAATTATTATTAATTTTTGTTTCACAAAATTTTTTTTTACTTTTTTCGCATCCTAGATTCTATTATTAGCTTCCACTCCCACTCGACAGAGAAACATAATTAGCCCCACCCACCCACCCCGTCTCTTTTTCATGGATTGATTTTATTCGATCTGAATGAAATGAATGATCATATACTGAACAGAAATAAAATTAGTCGTTAGAATGAGAAGAGGGTGAGGGGTGGGTGGCACTAGGACTTGCTAAGATAAGACTGATTTTGGCAAATGACATACCCTCAAAAAAAATAGAGGGTGGGTGGGCGGGGCTAGTATTTGATAAGATAAAACTGATTTTAGCACTTTTCACATTTTCGATCATTTTTCAACTCGAAGTCATTTTCGGTTTCGTTTCTTCGAAAATTCGTACCATTTTTCGAAAATTACTAATTGAAATATTGCAATTTTTACAGTTTTTTCAAAATAGCTAGCTAAAAAAGATTTTGTAGATAAAAAAAGAAAATTATTATTAATTTTTGTTTCACAAACATTTTTTTTACTTATTTCACATCCTAGATTCTATCATTAGTTTCCACTCCCACTCGACAAAGGAACATATTTAGCCCCGCCCACCCACCCTGTCCCTTTTTTATTGATTGACTTTATTCGATCTAAATAAAATGAATGATCTTATACTGAACAAAAATTAAATTAGTCGTTAGAATGAGAAGAGGGGGGAGGGTGGGTGACAGTAGGACTTGCTAAGATAAAACTGTTTTTGGCAAATGACACATCCCCTAAGAAAATAGGGGGTGGGTGGGCGGGGCTAGTACTTGATAAGATAATACTGATTTTGGCACTTTTCACATTTTCGACCACTTTTCAACTCGAAGCCATTTTCGGCTTCGTTTCTTTGAAAATTCATACCATTTTTCCAAAATTACTAATTGAATTATTGCAAATTTTACAATTTCTTCAAAAATAACTTGCTAAAAAAATTTTGGAGATAAAATAAGAAAATTATTATTAATTTTTGTCACTAAATTTTTTTTTTTTAATTTTTTCGCATGATAGATTTTATTATTAGCTTCCACTCCCACTCGACAAAGGAACATAATTATCCCCGCCCACCCACCCTGTCTCTTTTTCATTGATTGATTTTATTCGATCTGAATAAAATAATTGATCATATACTGAACAGAAATAAAATTAGTCGTTAGAATGAGAAGAGGGGGGAGGGTAGGTGACACCAGGACTTGGCAAGATAAGACTGATTTTGGCAAATGACATACCTTCCAAGAAAAAAGAGGGTGGGTGGGTGGGGCTAGTATTTGATAAGATAAGACTGATTTTGGTAAATGACATCTTCCAAGAAAAAGAAAAGGGTGGGTGGGCGGGGCTAAAACTTGCTATGATAGAACTGAACAACATTAAAAGTAGTCACTGGAACGAAGAAGGGGTGGATGGGCGGGGCTACTGCTTACTTATAACCCTACAAAAAAGCTAAATATAGCCCAGCCCAACTCCTTTCTCCATTTCACTAACTTATTTTATTTAGCGTAAAATGCAAAGTGAAAAATAACGGTATTGTAGTCCTAACATTTTCTGGGAAAATGGGGTGAGCCGTTTCTGATTAAATCAATAAAATAAATTGACTCATTCATTAATTTTTTTGAGCCACCTATATAACCAAATCTAAAAAATATGAATGCAATGATAAATCACAAGTAAAAACACGTCACATTTTGCACATTTCATCTAGATTTAGGAATTCAACTCGTTACAATGGAAATTTGCAATTTAACACCTTTAAATTACACAAGTTTTTACGAGATTAATAGGGGCAAAATCAGTTTTATCTTAACAAATACTAGGCCCGCCCACCCGCCCCCTCTTTTCCCATAGGATATGTGATTTGCCAAAATCAGTCATATCTTACCAAGAACTAGCCCCGCCCACCCGCCCTCGATTTTTTCAGAAGACATGTCATTTGCCAAAATCAGTCTTATCTTACCAGGTACTAGCCCCGCCCACCCGCCCTCGATTTTGTCAGAAGAT